TTATGTGGACTTGGCTGGGAAAATAAGGCTCAAATTCTGAGGTTGCTTCGTGGCTAGTCCAGTGGGACGAAGAACCTGACAGTTCCCTAGTGTCTCCTTTTGTTTCTTGAAGCCCGACGGTTATGAGCTTCCCGCGGAAGTCCTCACTCCTCTATTTACATCGTAACCTGAAAATTAGGGCAAGCTCTTGGCCACAGCTCATGGTATACTATGAGAGACACACAAGGTTTGTGTGTACTTTGTTATTCAAGTACCAAGAAATTGTGAAATAATCACATTATTGTGTTGGATATGTCACAGAGGTGGCTTGTAAGGATAGATGTATATATATCAAGTCAATTTTGAGGCGTTTGGACTTTTTAGCAAATTCGATGATGAGAGATCTAGTTTCTTTCATAATTTGGGATGCTCCCAAAACGTGGAGCAGATTCCTCTCTACAAGTAATCGAGTGTGGTGGTTTCGTACCTCAAATAACTAATACGTAATGGTACATCGTACTCGATACGAACTGCATGTGTAAATACAGAAAAGAGGATAAAATATATGATACGAGAAACCTACAGATACTAAATAGAGACAGAGAAACCATAATAACTACCTGATTGCGTCCCATCAGAACCAGGTCCAGGGCGTGTGGTAGGCCGACGATGGCATGGAAGGAGAATACACGCAGATGGCAGCAAAAATGAAGTTCAACACCGCCGCCCACAGCCACGCCGGAGACACAGGAGGGGATGGGAAGCGTGGTTAGCCGAATGGTCCGTAGGCTGGCGAGAAAGTCCCGCGTCTTAGCTGTACCCATGGCCTTTCGTTCTTTCTTGGCTTAGTTCTTGTAGCATATGTCGTGCTATGGAATTATTTGCCTTGGAAAGCTGCAGCTGGATGATTACGGCTTGGGGCTCCTGGATGTGGGCTACGACTATGGACGAGAGATTTTTCGTGTTGCTGTCATGGAGGATATCTTGCGTCTCTGTCTTGGGTGCGTCAAAGGCAATCTCCACAGCACGAGTTATGACTGGCAATTCTAAGTCGTCCCGACGGAGAGCAACTTGTGGATGGGCTTGTGTGACGGAATAGATGTGTGATTGCAATGACGGCCAATCGCAGCATCGTCCCTTTGGTCCAGTTTGGTGAAACGACAGAAGATGTCATCTTCCAAGAGACACTTGAGTGTATTCTGCTGTTCAGTGACCATGAATTCATACCTCCCGTCTGGTAGCCTAGGCATGACGATGACGGCTCCGGCGATGGTGCCCCGGGTCAGCGTCCAGGATCTCTTGCTGAAAGAAAGACATATCTGCCGCGTTTATATAACCATCGAGATAGGGTCTCGAAGAGCCTGACCGAAGCCTTCAAAGCAGAGAAAAACACACCATCGTCAGCATAAGAAACTGCTGGTAACCACCACCTCACATTCATGACACTGACTTAGTTATTGCTGATTCGCTCGCCGGCTAGTTTTCTGGTCCCGCCAGCTAAATCTTTTCGGTGGCTTACACAGCACTTGATTTGTTCACTTGCTAAGTCTCTGCCATCAGCAATGGCATTATACAGTGTAGCAATGCAAAGCCCGGTTACTGTGAGCCTCTATCCGCCGCCAGCCTGGAATCTCCAAAGAAGCAGGCTAGCTTTGTGTTATCATGTTAGAAACCTGCACCACCTAAAGTGGTACAGACGTATGCCACCATTCGCTTCAGCCTGCCGTGAATTCTGCAGTCAGCACCTTGGGCTATAATTTATGCGGCATGAATTGATGATGTATCACAGAATCCTGCACCAGTACAGGAATATACCTGAGGCGCAACCGTGGCGGCTAGGCCGCTCAACCTTGGCTTTATCGAAAGTAGAGGGTCCAAGACAACCTATCTTCATCACAATGTACGCAAGCAAAGGGAAAATCCTGCAACAGATGCCGCGTAGGGATGTCGAGAAAGTACGCAACGTGGATAAGTGGATGCTTGTAATGCTCTCAAGAATCATGAGACTTCTGGATGATCAGTCTCGTTTCCGTGTCGTCTGGTACCTGGCGTAACTACTCAAATAGGTAGAATGTCCGTGGTGGTTCGTGCATAGCCTACCAGCACTAGCCTAGATTTCCTATCCACAGCACACAACAATCTCTCTCTGTATGCCCCAACATAAGATAAAGTCTGGATATGAATCCAAACCTACTACGCGCATGTCGAAGAGATGATCTAAGTAGCCAGAGCTATCCTCGTCCAGCATTTCTAACGATGAGAACAATTAATTTGTGATTGTGGCCAAATTTCCTGCATTGTCAGATGTCGAATCCACCGTTCTCTGCGTTCCGCGAAATGATCGTGACATGGTTCCACGAGCATCAAAATAGCAAAAGTGGCAATTACAAGTGCCCGAAAGATTAACAAGGGCTGTCGAGGCAAGTAGGGGAGGGTTTATAATAAATAATATTAAATACGTCGTAGGGTTTATAAATCATGCCAAGAAGATGAACTCCATTTAGTGTTTACCAAGCTTTTATTAGCTCTAACTAGCTTGCATACAAGCTTTCTACGCTGCAAGTCGTGCCTGAATCTAGAGTCCCTCTACGTGCTAATCCTACCTGGGGAACTCGGAGTTTTATTGATGGCCAAATACGGCAGATGGGGTAAACTAGGATCCACGCTCCCGCTTACAGTCAAGCTCAATCTATATCGTGCCTATCCGCTAGCTCGCCCTCCTTTGAAGTCTTCCTGACGGTGTTAATTTTCCTGACCTGTCCACTCGAGCTGCCATGCAAGCTCTTGTAGCGCATATGCCCTGTTGCTCACGCCACTGCACAATCTATGAAGAATCCCAATATGGAGGACGGCTTGGGTGGCGGCGGTAGCAAATATGCTTCCCTTGTTGAATATATCGAAGTGCTGCGCGCGATACTCGTGCACCCAACGCCTCTGACCCCGACACGGCCCCGAAGCTGCTCAGCCCTGCCACGGTTGACGCTCTGTTCTCTCCCCAGTTGAGTTCCTCGAGCCGCGTTCCGGCTACGCCTGCTACTAGTGATCTAGCTTATGACGTAGGAAGGCGTCAAGGGGCTTTCAAATAGCGCACATATGTACTATGGTCACAGTTAGGGAATTCAGGTTCAATAAGCGATCTATCCATCTCGTAACTATCACGCTTACGATAGATATTCTTAGTAGCCTGATAAGTACTCGTATTTTAGTAGGTCGTATCATATTTAGAATACGATAAAGACGCCCTTAAAGCCTAGTTCTGTTAAGGATTACAGGTATATATAAAGGACGAGGTAACGAGGATGGATCGACCAAAGACTTCATGGGCCCTATGCAGTAGGTTATACGAATACAGCGAAATAACGATAACCGCAGAGACAATAACTTGAATAATGATTGATACTTCTCTACTACGGGACTTTATGTAAGACCTTGATGCGTGCACCTAGGGGGGAGGATGCTATAATGCAGTAGTGCGCAACGTTATAGTATCTAATTGAATGGGATTCACCTAACCAGTGGGTCCCCCTACCTTTTCGTATCAGACCTATAGATCTCGACGCTACTAGATATAATAAGCATAAGCCCTAAGGAAAGGATTATGTTAACTATAGTAAAAATGGATAGAGACTACTGTTAACCAAATAAAGATTAATAACCGGTCTCTAAAGGGCAATGCTACCTAAACCTTTATAGTGATAACACCAATAAATATACTATACGCTAGTGTAGAACAACTAACAAAAGGTAGAAGATAAAGAAACTAGTAATAGGGAATGAGAATATAATCTAGATGGTTGCTAATTTTGGGTTTAGCAATTTTAGCCTGGGAAACAGAATGAGCCTCTGTGTTGCGCCAAGATTGCATACCATGCTCTCCCACTACACCCGCTAGACCAACAACAGCTCCGCTCACTTGCGAAGATGGAAGTTCTCAAAGAAAAAGACTCGCATTTTGCATTTGGCTGCTCCTAATCCATGATAGTCAACTCTCCACCAGCTCACTCAAGAATTGGGAAAGGTCGGCCTAGACTTCCACCATCACATGTACTTCCTTCAGCCACGTACGTCGATATACGAAGTTCATTCCCCAAGAGTCCGAGACAGTTAATCTTACCATGCTTCGTACGGAAAACTGCCCCCTGGGTTGAAATACGAGCTCGACCTTTTGGTACAGTCCTACCAGACACCTTGTCTTGTAAATTAATCAACATTGCCATGAACTCGCCGGTATTGGGCTGACTGCGGCGCTGCCATATGGTCTTGACACAAAACGGTCGCGCAGGGTGAATCTTGTAGTCTCACAAAAAAGCTACCTGATAACTGGGCTGGAACGCCGATGCAAGCTGAAACTTTTGGCGACATATTACAAGCCCAGTTCCGTGGCACTATGTAGATTTATTGGTCTCAAGTCATGTAACTTGCGAGTTGCTTCAGCTTGAACATGCAACGCCACTTTGCTGTCCTGACAGGATTCTACTTGAGTATAAATCTATGACCATGGTTCTGCACCTAATCTGGACTGGCCGATGTTGTTAACTACCTTGATCACCATTCCAGCGTGGTGAAATCTGCCGTTCTTTACTCACATTCGCTTTTGAACTTTCGACGCCATGTTGCATCCGATCATAACCAGGCCATATTGGCTTTTTGCAAGTCTCATTCTGCTTTCGATAGGCGTGAAAGCAGATTGCCATGCAGACAAGTATTGCGATCCCATTCCTTTTCCTGCCAAATGTCCCAACTAACCATGAATTACTAGTTGCCAACGTGCGCTTTTCCCGTGCGAATCGCCACAGGCCATATCAGAAGCAGCAGCCTTCTGTTCATCAGTTAATGCTGGGGCTTATATGTACGCAACGAGCTACCCTACCCGAGCAACGGACGCATGCGGCACGAGCATACAGCCATATATCTCCGCTTGCAGCTGTGGGAACAGTTGCTCAACTGCTACTGGAACCTTGTCGACGTCTTTTACGGCCACAGCAACAATATCTCCAGGCTCTGGAACACTTACCACGACAATGTCAACAACAAATAGCAACGGGTCGAGCGATTCGGACTCGGGCAGCAGAAATTCGACGGGTTCTTTGTCAAGCACTTGCACTGAAACACAGACCACATCGATGGGGACTGGCTCGAGATCTGCCACTGATTCTTCGTCAGCAACAGGAACCTTGACGAGATCTCTCTCGTCATCTAGATCCAGGACCACTGGCACAGGGACTTCTCACATGACGCAAGATCCCAACCAGAATACCTCACATACGCAGTCTGGAACAGAGACAATTAGCGGCGGCACTCGTACAAGGTCCACATCGTCATCCAGCGCATCACGAACTACCAGTTCAACCGAGGATCCGAACGTTAGTTCATCAACAGACACGACCTGCACGACAACGCACTCAAACACAGAGACTGGTCGATCAACCCATAGCCTGAATATAACTTCATCTACAAGGACTGGTACTTCTGGTGATACCCAGAGCAACACTGCAAGTTTAATTTCTGCTACAACATCCACAGCCTCTCAAACATTCACGGATAGTACAACTGGATCTGGGACAGAAAGTACATCATGCACTAGTTCCCATTCGGGGACCACATCATGCACCACGACATTGACGACACAGACACGCCGCACAGGGACAAGCACGAGGGCTAGGACAACTGGAGCTTCGGATGATGCATCAGGATTGACCACATCGACAAGTTGTACTTCGACACATACGGGATCAGCTGGAGCTTCTGCCGAACAGTCAACCACTTCAACAAGCTGCAATTCCACATTGACCGCAAGTGTTCCATACACAAATTCCACTACATCATGTACTACGACGCTGTCAACGACGACCCGCGTTGACCGTCCCACTCTTTCGATCTCAGATCCCAACTCCACAATCTCTTCAAACTCCTTCATATCAGCGACCACGGCGACTTCGCCCCCCTCCTTGAGCTCAACATCCCCAACACTTTCAATTAGAACCACTAGTAACTCAGATGAAACCTCCTCGACAACCACAACCACCACCTCCACAACCACAACCACAACCACAACCACTATCTCCTCCTCCACCACAGCCTGCATCACAGGGCTCTCCTATAACTCCCTCCTCCTGCCCAACGGCGACTTCGAAAATGGCCTCTCGCGCTGGGACCTTTCCATTCCAGACCCCTACGCCAAAGCGCGCCTATCCACGCCGGGCGCGAACTCGTCCTGCACCGCGTTCGAAGCCTCACTGAAAAGCAGCGAGATGACTGACGATCTCCGATCAAGCGTCAAGATCACCACGGACACGGACTCCATTAACGAAGGGAGCCGGTACCACCTCTCGTTCTGGTACCGCTTCGAGACTGTGAACAACGCCGTTATCACAGCTGAGATCAATTACGTGCCTGTGGTTAGTGTCAATGCTTCGACGGTGCATGATTTGCTCTGGCAGCGGGCTGAGGCGTATTGGGTTGCTACCGATGGGGCGGCAAGCTTGAGGTTCGAGTTTTCGATGCCGTATATGCAGAGGGCAGGGAGGATGTGGATTGATCGTGTGAGGATGAATCAGGTGGCGGATTTGCCGGTTCCTGTTTCTGCTTCGCCGGACTCTTCTACTTTGTCGGCGGCTACCACTGAGAGTACTTCGGTATCGACTTCGGTTTTTATGACTCTGTTGACCTCGGCGTCTACTTCGACCTTGACCGCGGCATCTACTTCTGTGGTGACGAGCCTGGCTAGTAGCGTCGTTACGATTTCGGGTTTCAACATCACAACTGGGGCTACGGCAACGGCAGCACCGACTTTGAGGATGTCGTAGTGGACTAGGCTTTCTTAGGTTCCATTCTCTCACCTCGCTTGACAGTCTTTCCATTTCCTTGATATTCTTTTCGTTCCCTCTTCCATGTAATGGATGAACTCTATTGTGGATTATTGAAGAGATGGTATATTTGGGGCTGTTTACAATTATTCTAGATGCATTATCTGTAGCTACCTCTATATATAGTGTAGTTATATATTACTCTTGCAACACTGGCATGTAGTATGCGGGACCTTGATGTCTACCATTCTGTACGTACCGTGATTAAACATTCGCAAGTGACCGTCACATCGCCTCTATCCCACGATTTCCGTTCATTTTCACACCTAACTCTTACACAGGATACCATAAAACTGACAAAATGACCCTAAAACATTTGCCCTATTGCTTTATCCGACACTTGATGGTCCCTCGGATATTTGCGTACCTTGTCTCATCCTCTGCTTGAAGTGGACAATAACATCAACGGTGCAACACCCATGTTTTGTCAATCCACAACACTGCGGCATCAGGCTACTAATTAACATGCGGCGGAAACTCGCGCTCGGGGGCAGTAGCTTTCCTGCGCGACGATGTTCTTGTCCCGCTGAAGACACTCCTCTGCGAGCTATGCCGAAAAGGTGAGGGGCGGCTAAAATCTGGGGCGGCAGTGTCGGTCCCGGCCTTTCTGAGTGACTTGATCATCGGACTTCTAGACTCGTATATCCAAATTATCGAAGACACACGAAGATATTAGAGGGTCCACCATCTCCAAATCTCCATGGGCTACCGCTTGATGCACCCCAACGCCTTCACATGGGTAACTACGAATGAACCAGCCGCAATCAACATCGTGACAACATTACTATAGGCTTTTTCGTCATCTAAAAAGGAAGCTTCGCTGCTGTGCAATGCACAATCGATAGTAGAGAGACCCGTGGGGAGGGGGGTTGAAATGGGACTGGTTGTTCGATTCAGCTTCCGATTTGTGTATGTCTGCATCCTCTGATTCAACCTTCAATGGTCTGAAATCAAAATATATAGATGACGTATCATGCAGTAACCCCCAAGGAATATTGGGTACGCACCCATCGCAAGAGCGAAGTAAAATGCATTTGACTCGACTAGACTACGTCTTAGGGCCGAAAAATGCTCAGTATAGTAGTGGTGGCCATAAAGTGGTTTTAATTGAGGATGATTCGTCTATAAGGGCGGATCATGACCGACAGTAAAGTTGGCCAGAAGGGTTCTCACCACCTGACAACATTGGTTACAGCTGACTCTCAGTCACGGTGCTAAACGCATTGCAACCTACGTAAAATGGCTCGTCATAGTTCTGTAGCCGATGGTCTGCACACACCCGTCTAGGGGCTGCTAGCTTCATAGGCCACAACAGCCATTTTGATCCTGCAACCCCTGTGTTATCAGCGCCGTGCGTAAGCAAGAGCCCAAACACTTCTTCGCGCCGGAATAGGACCGCCCAGTAAGCACGGTCACATTCAACCTCCACGGGGAACTCAATACGCCATTTCATGGCCGCCGGTGGCCAAGTCTCCCCATTCCGCATCATGCGTGTTTGTCAACGCGTCCATCCGTAAACTGAAATAGGTCGTATTGACATCAGCATTGCTATCAAGCGGTGGAACGCCCATACAGTTGCTTTGGATTCTTTCCTCGTATGGAAGGCAGCTATTTATCATTTATATTGAGCTAAGGTGCGATGGAAGTCATTGGAAGAGAACTTGTTCTAGTCTCCAGATCCCGTGTTGGAGTTCACCAAATGGGTATCAAAAATGGCAGAACCATAGGTTGCATAAGGGTTAGCCCGATATTCCAACTTAGTAAACTATTATCTCCTGCCATTTTCCACCGTCTATGTATACTTCGAAATGAGATATCTACCGTGCGACTCATCTACCACTCACCCGTCGTCTAATGACAGGCAGACACAACTCGTCACACACCCGTCCCCGCAATCTCCCCAACCCCCCTGCCCCATCCCCGCGTCGTCAATTCTGCCTTAATTTTCTGCACTCGCAGAATGCATCCTTCCAATGCGGAGCGGCCAATTAGCTATGCATTGAGTGGTTGGTTTCCTCCATCGAGAGGCGCAGAAACCTGAGAAAGATGGTGCTTGCAGGCGAAGGTAATAGCAGCAGGGTGGTACGCAGCAGCGGGGTAGTAGGTAGCTCATTGGTAACTAGGTAACCAAGTAATGCTTCAGAACATGGCGACCAGGCTGTAGTCTGCTCTTACTGTAGATGGCTTCCTCTTCAGACCATGACGGACTGCACAGCACATCACTTGTCGTACTCGTACAGTGAAGAACACTGTGTGCCGGCACCTTTTTCAGTCCTATGTTATGGTAGGTCATCGGCATCTCGTGCCTGATTAGACTACCTAGCCTGCAGCTTTCATTTTGAAACGCTTCTCTTACCATCCTGTTTGGTCTTTGGTGCGCCGAAAATCAACGCTTGCGCTTGAATATACACTACTTTGGATCCAGTATTGCCATTGCCATCGATAATCGTCAACCTCGCGTCCGCCCCTCGCTATGCTGTGGCCTCCAGCCTTCATCAGCCTGGCACTGGCATTGGCCGCGGCCACGGGCGTCGAGGCCTCCAACTTCAAGCATAGCTGGGAGCACATTGCTGAGGTGCACGAGCGCATGGACGAGAAGGTCGATCCGCGCAACTTCATAGCTGCCCGCGACTTCAGCGACAAGCGCCAGCTTGACTCCAAGTTCTTGAACGATAACACATCTAGTATGCCGTCCTAGCCCCGCAGAATGACCACACGGTGCTAACATAACCACAGAGTTCGCTGTTAATGGCAGTAAGCTACCCGATATCGACTTTGACATTGGAGAGTCGTACGCTGGGCTGCTGCCCATCGGCCAATCCAATGACACCGAGCTGTTCTTCTGGTTCTTCCCTTCTACCGATGGCTCTGTGACAGAGGAGATTGTCATCTGGTTTACTGGCGGTGTACGACTCCACGCTCCCACCCGGGACATTCTCTCTACTGACCGTTTCGCAGCCGGGATGCTCATCCATGTCGGGTCTTTTCGCTGAAAACGGACCAGTGACCTGGATAGCCGGCACCTTTGCCCCTGTTCTTAATCCCTGGAGCTGGCACCGCCTGAGCAACGTCGTCTGGATTGAGCAACCGGTGGGGGTAGGATACACGACCGGCACCCCAATCGCCAACAACGAAGACGAGGTAGCTCAACAGTTCATGGGATTTTGGAAAAACTTCGTCGACACCTTTGGCATGCACAACTACTCAATTTATGTCACTGGTGAGAGCTATGCCGGACTGTATTGCCCGTACGTCTCGAGCAACATGCTGGACGCTGCCGATCCCGAATACTTCAACGTCAGCGGCATGTTGATCTACGACGGTGTGTACAGTGATGGTGGGCCCTCTGAACAGATCCCTTTGGTGCCCTTCGTCGACTACTGGGGCGGTCTTTTCCCATTCAATGATTCGTACCGGGAAAGTATCCACGAGCGCCATGAGAAGTGCGGGTACCAGGATTACCTCGACAAGTACCTCGTCTACCCTGCGTCCGGCCAGCAGCCTTCCATCCCGCCCGGCGTCTCAGATAATTACTCCAGTTACCTGGACGGATGCAATCTCTTCGACGACATCTACTCAGCCATCTTGACCATCAACCCCTGCTTCAACATCTACCAAGTCGCCGCCGGCTGCCCGCTTCCCTACGATCCCCTCGGATTTCCCGCCGGAAACGAGTACACACCTCCCGGTGCACCACCGGTCTACTTCAATAGGTCCGAGGTCAAAGAGGCGCTGCACGTCCCCCTCGACAGCGACTGGGCAATTTGCAAGGGCGGGATCCTTAGACCCGACTACTCCCTCCCTTCACACGAGCACGCCATTCCCAATGTCGTGGACAAGACGCAAAATGTGATGCTGGTCCACGGTGCCCTAGATATGGTCCTGCTCGCCAACGGGACTCTCCTGGCCATCCAGAACATGACCTTTGGCGGCAAGCTCGGGTTCGAGGAGCAGCCCACCAAGCCGCTGTACGTCCCCGCGCACTACGACCAGAGCCCGAGCACCTGGGCCGGGTCTGGCATCTTGGGGACGGCGCACACGGAGCGCGGGTTGACTTACGCTGCCGTGGCGCTGTCGGGTCATATGGTGCCGGAATACCAGCCCAGTGTGGCGTATCGACAGCTCGAGGTGCTGTTGGGGAGGGTGGAGAATCTGCAATCTGTGACGCCCTTTACCACGGATACGAACTCGACGGAGCAGCCCACTTCTGCGCTTGGATTGGGGACCGGACCGCAATCATTTGCTTCCGCAGCAGGCAATGGAAGCAACTCAGGGTCCGGGTCCTGCAGTAGTGGAAGTGGAAGCCAGGGTGGGAACTCCACTGTTACCAACGCTGGGTCACAGATGGGAGTCACGAGCTGGATGCAGATTGGGGTGCCTGCTTTGTTGGTGTATGTCTTTCAGGAGCTACTTTAACGACGTATTACATCACTATAGCAGTACAGGTAGAAGTTATTACAGTAGATGGCAACACACCGAACATACTCGTTGCTTGACCAGGTTTTGAGCACCGTTGCTAGCAGGTGACTTACAATGGAGCAAGGAATCAAGGCGCGTCAAGTGGGCATGTGTAACGAGCCCGCAGTTGATTGTTATTCATCTGCCACAAAGAACCATTACATTAGGTCACAATAAAAGTTCTCCATATCATAAAAGAAAGTTCTGCGACTCGATCATTCGGAAAAGAATTTACGTGAGGAAGACAAGAACTACCCCGCTGTGACCAGACTCGCGTACCCCACCAACACCAAGTCAATTGCTTATCACGACGTCAACAACCTGGTGGGGTGCGAACTTTTGCCGAGATCTACACCATCCTTCCAACGGTCTACAACGGCGCAAAGCATATTGCGAGCTACAATCCTTCAAGATGATGTCGGCGCAGCTCCAGGAGTCGGCCTCCAATCCGCCTTCTCACGACCCATCGGCTAGGTCAACGCCGGCCCCTCCGCCTGAGGTCACGCGACCGCCTATGCGAAATGCAGCCGCCGTCAGCAAGAGCCCATACGTCCAGTTGCAAAAGGGCAGTGATGTGCGATGGCAGCTCTTCAGCGATGAAGCCATTGAGCGCGCAAAGTCCGAGAACAAGCTGATATATCTGCATATTGGGTTCAGTGCTTCACATTGTAAGGCTAGCTTGGTCACCAGCATGCTTCAACATGATTCAGGTCTAACGGGGGCAACAGACTGCTATCTCATGATGCAAGAGTCCTTTACCAACCGCAAAGTCGTCAATCTCCTGAATGAGCGCTTCATTCCTATTATCGTCGATCGAGAGGAGCGGCCCGACCTCGACCACATCTACATGAACTACATCCACTCCCTCAACAGTGTTGCCGGACATCCGATAAATGTCTTCTTGACCCCCGAGCTGGAGCCTGTATTTGGGGGCACATATTTCCCCGGTCCTGTAAGCCAACATGGCACAATCGCATCTACTAACGGTGAAGACCTAGCCGACTTCTTGTTCCTCCTTGAGAAGCTCCAGACCATGTGGCCGGATCAGGAGAGCCAGATTCGCCAAGACGGCAAGAAAAACGTCAGCGAACTGCGCAAAATGGTTGATGGTACACTGGGTCGGTCCGATGGCGGCGATGTGGATCTCGACCAGCTGGAGGAGGCTTATGCCAAAATATCCAAGGACTTCGACCAAACGTACGGTGGGTTCATCCATATACCCCCGAATGCATCAACGGATTTGGCCGGAAGAGTCGATGTGGTGCAGCTGGAGGAAGTCTACAACTACATCAAGAAGACGCCGAAATACCTCACCTCCGCCAAGGTATCCTTCCTTCTCAGAGCGACGTGCTTCCCACGACCCGTCGTAGATGTTGTAGGCGATCAGCTTACTGGGCTCGTGTCGACGTTCGCGCTCAACGGATGCCTGCGGCCCATGAATGCCGGAGGTATTCATGATCAACTCGGCGGCGGTCTCCACCGGTGTTCTACCAGTAGAGACTGGTCACTGCCGAGTTTCGAGAAACTGATGTCCGACAACGCCCTCATGCTAGGTGTCTACTTGGACGCATGGCTGCTTCTCAAAGCTACCAAGGCTGCCGAATTCCGTGACATTGTCTTCGAGATGGCCGACTACCTGACGAGCGCGCCGATAATGCTGGAAAGTGATGGGTTTGCGACGAGCGAGGCAGCAGATTCTTCCGACCGGAGAGGCGACAATAATATGCATCACGGCGCATATTACCTGTGGACCAGAAAGGAGTTCGACGCTGTCATTCGAGACGAACAGGAGAGTGCAATTGCGGCGGCGTACTGGGATGTCCAGCAGCACGGCAACGTTGACAGGAGTCAAGACCCGCACGATGAATACCTTAACCAGAACATCTTACGGACGGTCAAGAGCCTCAAGGAGTTGAGCCTGCAATTTAGTATTCCAGAGGAAGAGGCATTGAAACGAATTGACTCTGCGCGACGGAAATTGCGCGCCTTTAGGGAGTCAGAGCGCGTGCGGCCTACTGTCGATGTAAAGGTCGTCACAGCCTATAATGGCATGGCCATTAATTCTCTATCCCGAACAGCCGCTGCCTGTATCTCTGTCGACGGGGAAGCGGAGAGAGGTGCTAGATACCTCGAAGCTGCAAGGAGGGCCGCTGTCTTCATCAAAAGCAAGCTCTGGGATCCAACAGAGAAGACGTTGTACCGGATGTATTACGATGGCGGACGAGCAGATACCAAGGCTTTCGCGGAAGATTATGCCTTCTTGATTGAGGGTCTTCTGGAACTGTATGGTGCTACAGTGGATGAGTCTTGGCTTGAGTGGGCGGATGAACTGCAATGTGAGTGATCATTCTGTCGTCAGTGCTCGGGAAGGCGGGGAGGGGTGGGAATATTTTGGACAAATTCATGGATGAGTTTCACCTCGAAGTCAATAAGCCAATGTCATGGCAGGAAGTACTGACTGAACGCAGCAATCCAAATCAAACACTTCTACGACACCCCTGCGATCTACAACCATGCCATTCACAGCGGTGCTAGATGCGGCGCCTTTTACTCCACAACCCAAGATGCTCCGCACATCCTCCTGCGTATCAAAGACGCCATGGACACCGCCCAGCCCTCAATCAACGCTGTCTCGGCATCGAATCTGTTCCGCCTTGGCTCACTTCTAGACGACCAAAACTACACTAGCCACGCCGTTGAGACAGTCAACGCCTTCGAGGCTGAGATACTTCAATATCCATATCTCTACCCGGGACTGCTGTCGTGCGTCGTGTGGTGGAAACTGGGAGGACAGCGGTGGATCTCCAACGGTTCGGCAGACCAGGAAAATATCAAGCAGTATCGCCTGGCTCCGCGGGGTATTTTGTGGACGATGTTGTATGCTAACCCCTCTAGTGGTTTCTTGAGACGGAGAAGCCGGACACTGGTGGAGAAGTTGGCTGGGAAGAAGGAAGGGGTTTACTCATTGGATAAGGTAGGAGAGTTACAGCAGGTTTGAGAGTAGAATATCAAGGTATAACAATGGTGCTTTTTTCGCTGGATAAACCGAAGACATACGGACTTGACATGAACTGAGTATGAGCGTGAGCACGACCATGCAGAATGGGTTTGCATAGCGGTTGGATAATGGACGAGCTTGAGCATATTGATCAAGAAATATAGTCTGGTTCATTTGAGTTGCCCTGCTAGGTGCTCTTGATGGAGTTTGGGCAGGCAGCGTGGTTTGGTTGGGTTGATTGGATGGCCGCCGGGAGTTGGGGCCACCCAGGCGTTCTGCACATATCATACCGTTATGACTCTCGCATTTCTGAATTGGAATGAAGAGAAATTGATGGTTGATTCGGTGCTTTACCCTCCAAGAAAGTCCAAAAGACAAAAGGAAATTGAAACAAACTGCAAATTGCAAGGCCCAACTCAGGCCATAGACGAGTCGCGACATCTCCGTTGCCCAAATTAACCTTGTCTTCCAGGGTGAAGAGAATATGGAGGCATGAGTACAGAATTCTGAAAGGGCTCATCAGCAGGAGTAGCTGGTTCTCAACAGCTTCTTGTTCAGTGCCAAGGCCGAGGTGAGTTTGGTTTCTAGTACTTTGAGGCTTGACATTGTGAGACTCGGTGAGGAAAGGGCTCCTGATAAACAAGGGAAGTGGGATGATAATCGAGCTTTTGTTGGATGTGCAAAGGGGCAACTGATGGTGCAGTCTCTGATAGTCAACTTGCTTTTCTCTTCTGTCTTCTGTCTTCTGACAGCCAGACTTAATAACCGTGTTGTTCATTGTTGGCCCATTTGAACAACAGGCTTCGATATCTAGCAGTACCATACATCCTCCCTATCTTGCCCTTCACCACTAAACATGCTATGGTACGATAGTATCATCCAATCCTCTTCATCCTTGGCTTAAGCCCGACTGGATCATGAATCACTTGTTCACCACTTCCCTATCCCTGTACGACTCAGCTAAGCTTGTCTCATACCGATCAAACAAAGCAGCGACAATCTTGAAAGTCTCGACCGCAGCAAGATTTTGCGCGATGCAGTTTCGTGTCGCCACCCCAAAGCTCAACTCACATAACCGCACCTCAGCCGTACTGAGAAAGCAGCCTCCGACTCGCCTCCTTTTTCGTAGCGGAGCCACAGTTCTGGTCTAAACACCTCGGGCTCGAGAAACTAGACGCTGTTTTCTGTGCGGTTCATGATATCGGGATTGCTGCAATCATAAATCTGGGGATGACGACGACGAACTTGTTAAAGCACTTGCAGTCCCAATCTCTTAAGCACAAGACGATATGGCTCTGCGATATATCATTGCCAAAACCAATGTCATCAACAACCAAGGTGATTCGAACTGCCAGGATTGGGGGTTGGGGAAGCATCATCTAATTTGCTTGGTCAGGGGCCCATTGAAATGAGAACATATGATCGAGTGTAGGATTACATGGCTGACATGATCATTGACGGAGTCTAGAAGGAGATTATGGTAAATTAACTGGACACTCAAGTATTCCGTAAGTTGCCTCCACGATTCAAAGGTGGTGGCAGAAGGTGCTAAGGTGTGATGAGAGGCATACTAGATGCTCATACTGGCACGTACAGCTCCAAAGCCTTTGTATCTAGTCTTTGCAATTCATTGCCCTGGGGTATAAGTTGAAGCCACTTGAATTATTATGGAAGACGAGGGAAGTCAGCCAATCGCTGGGGTAAGCTCAACTGCCAAATAATCCTTACGACTGAATATGGTACGATGAGTTTTCCACGCTGGAAAAGAATATTCATGAGAAACCTACCATTTGTCATATTCATCGATTTCTTTCTACGCGAATACCCACCTGTGTGGCAGTAAGAGCAAGAGTACGGTGGAATTAGCAGCAAGATTGAAGGCGACTGATGTTCCAGCTTACCAATGGACTTGAAGCATGTGGATTTCTCCATTTATGGTGATATCCCGTTTGTGCGCATACCTCAGATGGTTTGTGGTATAGATGATCCTGCATTTAACGTTTGGTAGATTCATCTGTAGCAGTTGCTAGATTAGAGGCATCTAGCCATAGCATGTCCACAGCAACTGTAAACATGTATTTATTCCCGAACCCCATAGAAATGCAATCTCCTCATATGCTTATGTATTCAAGCTGCAATTGTATGAGGTAAAAAAATGCGTATATGAAGCGCAGCTTATAAATACCAGCATATGTAAGCGTAACATGACCCCCCTCCACAAGTCATTGAGGTCGGCCAAACTTTAGTTACACCCTCTATTTCTAATATCAAACTTCCGGTCGTAGCCACTTATAGCTGACCTGTTTCACCATATATAAGGCGATTCTCCTATCCAATTCAATTTCATCCTTCGCTTCCAATTAAGCACCACAGTTTATTCTCACGGGAACCGCATCACAAACCCTTCACGGACACACACCACCGCGCCAAGATGGCAAACATGAAAGCCCTCATCAGCGCCGAAGGCAAGACCGCCTCCGTAAAATCCATCCCCATTCCCACGCCTGCCGAAGGCGAAATCCTTGTCAAAGTGCACTATGTCGCTCAGAACCCTGCCGACTGGAAAGTCATGGCCCAAGTCCCCCCCGGCCGCATCATTGGCTGTGACTTCGCTGGCACTGTATCCCATCCCAACGGCTCTTCATGGCGCGAGAACCAACGTGTCGCTGGGTTCGTCCAGGGCACCGCCGTGAACCCCACTCGTGGTGCTTTCGCCGAGTATGTCGTCGTGGAATCGAGTCTAGTCTATGCCATCCCCGACAAATTGAGCTATCAGGACGCCGCTGTGGTCCCGCTCGCTTTCGCCACGGCAATCCAGGCTCTGTTCCAGCGCCTTAAGCTGCCCGAGCCGTCTAAGCCCGCGAAATCGGCGTTTCCGGTGCTCGTCAACGGGGGTACTTCGTCTGTGGGGAAGTATGCAGTCCAGCTAGCCAAGCATGCGGGTTTGTTCGTCGTGGCTACGGGCTCAAAGCGCAACCATGAACTGCTCGCGTCATATGGCGCGGATGTGGTTGTGGACTATAACGACACCGACTGGATCGAGCAGATCCGCAAGGCGACGCATGACGGGCTTGAACACGCGTTTGACTGCATCTCTGAGCTCGAGACCACCAAGGCCATCGCAGGTGCCCTGTCATCGAAGAAGGGGGGCCACATCGTCACCATCCTCCCGCGTAAAAGTGTCGAGCTCGACCCCGCACACAGCCAGGTTCGTGTGGAGTCTACCATCGTGTACACCGTTTTTCAGCGGACAATCCAGTACGGCGCGTTCGACAACTGTGGGAGTGAGACGCCGGAGGATAAGGCGTTTTGGGAGAAGTATTTGAGTTTGCTGCCGGAGTACTACTTGACGTCGGGAACTATTAAGCCGAATCGGGTGAAGGAGTTTGGCGGGATAGAGGACATTCTGAAGGGCTTTGAGTTGCAGAAGGAGGGCAAGGTTAGTGCGGAGAAACTGGTCTATAAGATTGCTTCTTGAGCTTTCTGCAGTATCAGCGAAGATATATAGCAATTCTTTGGACAGCATTCACAAGTGATGATGACATTCTGAGCCGAGTATATGGATAGAAAGAAAATCCCACGCCACACTTGAAATCTGCGCTTGCTACTAATCAGCACCTCTGTGGGATTGGTGCATAAGTTTTGTATAATATCCCCTGGCAGGACCGCTCTTATCCGGTAAGTTCCGGACCAGCACTTGCGGTTGATACGACACTTAGCGACCAGAGCGGGGCTGAGTCGAAGACGGTATGGGTTGCACAGCAAGTGGAAGCAGGGAGGGAAGATGCATCCAGTGTGGCAATGTAGCCGAGTCATCTTGTTCTACTAGCTGCACGTAAGCAAGGCTGCAGGTAGGCAGTGCTGCCGCTTGTTGGCGACCGTAGCAAGGATTCCAGGGATGAAGATGCTTATAATTGAGCCTTGGCCGCTCCAGGACAACTTCCTTCCAGAACGAGTCAGTCTTCACATTATTGAACCGCTATTAGTACGCCCAATTACTATTCTGCTTCGCCTTCAGTAATGGCTACCTCCAAGGCTTTGGAAAGCCGCGACCAGTACACTGTTGGATGGATTGCAGCTTTGCCAATCGAGCGAGCGGCTGCAACCGCCATGCTCGACGAGCAGCACAAGAAGCCTCTCGATTTCATCCAGCCACCGAATGATACGAACTCGTACACCTGGGGCCAGATTGCGGAGCACAATGTTGTTATCGCATTGCTGCCCCTGGGAGTCTATGGAACAACCTCTGCCGCGACGACTGCAACGCATATGCTCTCCTCGTTTCCTCAGATCCGCGTCGGCCTCATGGTTGGCATCGGAGCGGGTATTCCTCGACCCGACCAAGAAATCGACATTCGGCTCGGTGACATCGTCATCAGTCAGCCATCCGGTAGAAGCGGCGGCGTTATCCAGTACGACTTTGGAAAAGCTAAGACGGGAGACCGATTCGAGCGTACAGGATCCTTGAATTCGCCACCTCAAGCTCTCCTCAATGCATTAGCTGCGCTCCAGGCCCAGCATGAGTTCGGGTCCAAAATTCCAAAGATTCTGCAAGACATGCTGGAGAAGCATCCTCAACTAGCAAGAGCAACCCCAAGAAAACCTAGCTACGCTTACCAAGGACGAGAGCACGATAAGCTATTTAATCCAGCGTACGAACATACCCAGGGCAAGAACTGTGACAAGTGCGACTCAGAACAGGAAGTTAAACGCGAGGAACGCGAGCTACTTGATCCAGAGATCTACTACGGCCTTATCGCTTCTGGAAACAAGTTGATAAGAGACGTCACTACAAGAGACTCTATCCTGAGTGAGCTTGATGACAATTGCATCTGTTTCGAGATGGAAGCAGCCGGCCTGATGAACAACTTCCCCTGCATTGTAGTGCGAGGTATTTGCGATTATGCTGACTCACACAAGAATGACCGTTGGCAGAGATATGCGGCTGCAACAGCTGCTGCATACGCAAAAGAGTTTCTAGGTGTCGTCCCTGGGGAAGATGTGGAGAGGACGCGGAGAGCAGCGGAAATGATCGAGAACAGTGCGTACTCTGCTCCTTCTTAGCACTCAGTAATAATTTGGATAGTTTCATACAATGTAAAGGAAACAAAGGACGGTGTCGAGAGGTTGTCCTTGCAAACCCGACAGCAGAAAATTGACAAGTGGTTGTCTCCATCACATCCGTCAACGAATTACAACAAAGCTACAGACCAACGTCACCAAGGCTCGGGTCAGTGGTTTCTTCAAAGCGAGGCATATTTAGCGTGGAAAAAAGAGCAAAACTCGTTTTTGTGGCTCCATGGTATTCCTGGATGCGGCAAAACGATCCTCAGTTCCACTGTCGTCGAGGATTTGGAGAGAAGCGAAGCCTGCTCTCAAACCCTCCTTTATTTCTACTTTGACTTTACCGATAGGGATAAACAGTCTCTCGAGGACGCAGTACGCTCTCTCATCAGTCAGCTTTACTACAGGAAGGAGAATGTCCGAAGGCACCTCGACTCACTCTACTCCTCTTGCGAAAATGGAAAGCGGCAGCCAAACATAGCATCACTGCGTACAACCTTACAGAACATGATTCAGCAAGCTGATGAAGTCTGGCTTGTTCTCGATGCGCTAGACGAGTGTCCAATACGGTCGGGATACCCAACTGGCGGACTACTTCCGTGGATTCACAGCCTTCGAGACACCCAGATGAATGTTCACCTTCTTGTTACAAGCCGACCGGAACAAGACATTGAGTCTACTATCGAGAAGTGGGCCCGCAAAGAAGATATCATCCCCATACAGGGCGATTTAATAGCGGAAGACATACGCGCATATGTCCGCACAAGAGTCAGAGAACACGAAGGTCTGAGCAGGTGGAAGTCAAGACCGGATATACGAAGCGAGATCGAAGTTGCTCTAATAGAGAAGTCTAATGGAATGTAAGACCTGTCGAGCGTATTTTTGCGGTTAAGTTATTGAGACTATCTAGGTTTCGATGGGTTTCTTGTCAGCTTGATGCTTTGGAAAAGTGTTGCGACCCCAGGACTTTACGAACAGCACTGAACACCTTGCCGAAAACATTGGACGAGACGTATGCTCGAATACTGAAAGATATACCGCATGAGCACCTGGGTCACACAACCCGGATTTTGCAGTTCTTAACTTTCGGTGAACGACCCTTACGAATTACCGAGGCTGTTGATTTAATCACGGTAGATACGTCAAACACGCCTAGGTTCGATCCAAAGAACCGAATGCCAGTTCCAAAGGAGATATCGAGGTACTGCTCCAGCTTAGTAGTTATCACGAGAAGAGACAGCTACGATGAAAAACAGATGGTCCCTGAGATACAGCTCGCGCATTTTTCAGTTAAAGAATACCTAACCTCAAACCGACTGGAAAAGGATATCAGTAAATACTTCGAGGAGACCTTTGCTAGAGCCGCTATCGCAGAGATCTGCCTAGGATATTTACTAGAGTTGGATCAGAACCTCACAACTAAGGAAATACGGCAATCATTCTCATTAGCGCAGTATTCAGCGCAGTACTGGATAAGCCATGCTGTGGTAGCCGAGAGCTGTAGCCACACAGTGCGTACTCTAGTAATGGAGTTGTTTTCGCATGAAAGCACCTACGAAACTTGCTACATGTTATACAATCCCGACATTCGGTGGAATAACGACCCTAGTAAAGATGATTTAGCATTTCCATTATACTACGCTTCGCTGGCTGGGCTAATATATGCCGTTCAGAGACTAATCGAGAAGAACGCCGACGTTAACGCCCAGGGTGGAGAATACGGCAATGCCCTCCAAGCTGCTTCATATAGAGGACACGAGAAAGTGGTTCAGATACTACTCGAGAAGAACGCCGACGTTAACGCCCAGGGTGGACCCTACGGTAATGCCCTCCAAGCTGCTTCATCGGAAGGACACGAGAAAGTGGTTCAGATACTACTCGAGAAGAACGCCGACGTTAACGCCCAGGGTGGACCCTACGGTAATGCCCTCCAAGCTGCTTCATCGGAAGGACACGAGAAAGTGGTTCAGATACTACTCGAGAAGAACGCCGACGTTAACGCCCAGGGTGGACACTACGGCAATGCCCTCCAAGCTTCTTCATCGGGAGGACACGAGAATGTGGTTCAGATACTACTCGAGAAGAACGCCGACGTTAACGCCCATGGTGGATTCTACGGTAATGCCCTCCAAGCTGCTTCATATAGAGGACACGAGAAAGTGGTTCAGATACTACTCGAGAAGAACGCCGACGTTAACGCCCAGGGTGGAGAATACGGTAATGCCCTCCAAGCTGCTTCATATAGAGGACACGAGAAAGTGGTTCAGATACTACTCGAGAAGAACGCCGACGTTAACGCCCATGGTGGATTCTACGGTAATGCCCTCCAAGCTGCTTCATTGGGAGGACACGAGAAAGTGGTTCAGATACTACTCGAGAAGAACGCCGACGTTAACGCCCAGGGTAGACCCTACGGTAATGCCCTCCAAGCTGCTTCATATAGAGGACACGAGAAAGTGGTTCAGATACTACTCGAGAAGAACGCCGACGTTAACGCCCAGGGTGGATACTACGGTAATGCCCTCCAAGCTGCTTCATTGGGAGGACACGAGAAAGTGGTTCAGATACTACTCGAGAAGAACGCCGACGTTAACGCCCAGGGTGGACACTACGGCAATGCCCTCCAAGCTTCTTCATCGGGAGGACACGAGAATGTGGTTCAGATACTAATCGAGAAGAACGCCGACGTTAACGCCCAGGGTGGACTCTACGGCAATGCCCTCCAAGCTGCTTCATATAGAGGACACGAGAAAGTGGTTCAGATACTACTCGAGAAGAACGCCGACGTTAACGCCCAGGGTGGATTCTACGGCAATGCCCTCCAAGCTGCTTCATCGGGAGGACACGAGAATGTGGTTCAGATACTACTCGAGAAGAACGCCGACGTTAACGCCCAGGGTGGACTCTACGGTAATGCCCTCCAAGCTGCTTCATTGGGAGGACACGAGAAAGTGGTTCAGATACTACTCGAGAAGAACGCCGACGTTAACGCCCATGGTGGATTCTACGGTAATGCCCTCCAAGCTGCTTCATATAGAGGACACGAGAAAGTGGTTCAGATACTACTCGAGAAGAACGCCGACGTTAACGCCCAGGGTGGACCCTACGGTAATGCCCTCCAAGCTGCTTCATCGGAAGGACACGAGAAAGTGGTTCAGATACTACTCGAGAAGAACGCCGACGTTAACGCCCAGGGTGGACACTACGGCAATGCCCTCCAAGCTGCTTCATCGGAAGGACACGAGAAAGTGGTTCAGATACTACTCGAGAAGAACGCCGACGTTAACGCCCAGGGTGGATACTACGGCAATGCCCTCCAAGCTTCTTCATCGGGAGGACACGAGAAAGTGGTTCAGATACTACTCGAGAAGAACGCCGACGTTAACGCCCAGGGTGGAGAATACGGTAATGCCCTCCAAGCTGCTTCATCGGGAGGACACGAGAATGTGGTTCAGATACTACTTAATAAGGGGGCCGATCTCACAGTTACAAATAGTACCGGGTGGACGCCACTGAATTTAGCCTCAGATAGTGGACACGTCGAGGTGGTCAAATTGCTACTTGAGAAGGGAGCCGACGTACGAACCACAGACAGACACTGGCAAACGCCTCTTATATTATCCGCGTCAAAAGGACATAATGCTGTAGTAGAGCTACTACTTACGCGACATGTCAACATCAATGGGACTGACGTTCTTGGGAAATCAGCACTACTATGGGCTGCAAAAGGGAATCACAAAGAAACAGTCCGGATACTACTTTCACAAGATGGTATAAATCCAGACTTAGGAGATAATAAAGGCCGCACAGCACTCTCTTGGGCAGCCGGTAAGGGTTATGAAGGTGTAATGGAACTTCTACTTCAGAACCAAATGGTGAAAAAAAATTCACGAGATGGGAATGGTTGTACGCCCTTAATATGGGCTGCCTGGAAATCCTATGCAGGCGCAGTGGAAATGCTTGTTCGCTACGGTTCTCGTCCCTGCCATGCAGACAGAGACAGGTTAGTCTTTCAAGCCGCCATGTTTATGACAAGTGAAGGATTCGAGGAGTTTATGGGGATGGTGGGACTTACAGAAGACCAAGACCTGTTTGGGCTGCAAGCTCTATTTGATGATATAATGGCCGATGAGGGCTGCGACCCAAATAGCGCTGATGCGTGCACCTAGGGGGGAGGATGCTATAATGCAGTAGTGCGCAACGTTATAGTATCTAATTGAATGGGATTCACCTAACCAGTGGGTCCCCCTACCTTTTCGTATCAAGCGCCCTGTGAGGTTTTCCATTTCAGTAGAAGATAAGCATCGGCAACACTGGTTTGAAGGATCTTATTGTAAGGCACACCCACTGTCATCCACTGCAGGTATGTAGAAATATAGTTCGAGGGATAGGTCTGATCGATCCTTTCTTCCAAAAGTCCATGAGTCCTAATAGAGAAAGTCCACCACTACTGCTTCCTTCTCATCGCGTCAAATCCCATGTTTACCCACAGGAAATATACAACGAGAAAATATTGTTCTGTGAGGATCGCAGTTAGGGCCGGATTTCGAGAAAATATAGTAACACCATTTCCAGAGAGGGTGGACTGGGTCAAATATGCAGATAACCTTTTCAAGATGCGAGACAGTATGACGGAGAGCATGGAATCCATCACATCAATAATCCAAAGGAAAGCTAATATAAAGGCGGAAGAATCGTTACGACGTTATTATACTCGTGATACGTGAACCCATGGGGGGTTACCCTATAGCTATAGATAAGATAGATTAGAGCTATAAAAGAGCTCTGCCAGGCCAGAATAGCTGACCTGGCCATCCTTTCCCAATACAACAATTCACACCCCATATGCACTCGCATCAACTCGGCAGCAGAGAAGGAAAGTTTAAGTATTTAAGATAATTCTCATGAAGGGAGCCGAAGCAACATAGCAAGCAAAGACGTATGATGTGATGTGCCCTATCCTAATCTAGAGACGATGGGGGGAGGTAGTGGAAGGCTGTCTGATTCTCGCGAGTGGGGCTTATGTGTCAGGGTACGGCTAGACCGAAGGCAATAGTACAGAGTGATGGGGAGTAACGGGCGTCCCTCCTACGTAGCACCTGGTGGTCACTGGCGGTCTCAGGTAGGGGTGCCCACGGTGATGCATTGATCTCTACTCTCCCTCTATCTTCTTCCCGGGCCTCCGCCCCTTACATAGATAGCTAGAACCCGACGTCGGAGCCGCGGAGCACTAGTTTCCCCGATTGTTCCGCAAACCAAGACTTCCATATCGTGTCATGACTCGCACATTCCTACACCAGAGCCCCACCGGTGTCCCACCGGTGCCTATGGCATTCTGTTCTCTGACATTATGTGTGTATGAAAACGGTTAAGTTGTATACTCCCAGGATTAAATGGCTGATAGAATGCAGATAATCAATGACCGCGAGTTCGCTAAGTTGCGAATACCTGTCTGATTCCGATCGGCTGGCATTCTAGCTACATAGAAGGTTAAGAAGGTACAGGTACTAAATAGGCTGCGGGTCCTTTTCAAATACAAACGCGTGCCCCTAACCTTATGTGCCTTGTGTAACGAAACCTCTAATAGTCTAGCTACGTAAACCACTAAAGAGTCTGCAAGGGTTTGTGCTAGTAAGTAAGTCCTGCTGCGGAGTCCTCAAGCAATAATATCGGGGTCTGACGTATGGAGTATAGTGCTTTGGGTAACTGAAGTATTCAAGTAGGGTAGTCGGGAATAGAGTCGTCAAGGCAGTTTGCCTCACCAATGGGTTAGATTGATGCTTAGATTGATCACTGAAGTAGAGACTGTCTATCTATGAAATGCCTGGGAGTCCTGTCCCTTATATATCCATCTCTCCTTCACTGATCTCGTTAGATCACTTGGATCACGTGACCTTTTCCTTTAGTCGGGGGGCCTAGTTGTTCCTTTCCGTCCTTATGGGGCTTTGTTCCTGCGGGGTTCTGTGAAGGTCAACCCTCGCAGACTCACTACAACCAGGTGACTTACAGCTGGAACACCTGCCATGGCAGTGCCAGATGGGAAGCCAATCATAACCCTTGTAGGAGCCCCGCCAAGCGTGGACGACTTAGTCGCGCTCCCTCAAACCTAAGTTGTCATCTTCTTTCCTTCGCTCCTTAGAGTAGAATCTTCGTCGATAGCACCTAATCGAGGTCTCTACCAATGCGATGCAACCCAGGTCGTGACAGGTTCCGTCATGGCCTATTGTAGGGCCTGTCGGGTTGGTTTTGGCCAGGTTAGAACCAACGGTTCGTAACACCTGTCAGAGAACAGAATGCCATAGGCACCAGTGGGTGTCAGGACACTGAACGCAGGACACCGGCGGGCCGCCGGAGGGGTGTTTCGGATAAAAGACTCCCGAGTCATGATTACAATCTATGTGAAGCTTTGGGATGACGAGAGTCAAGGTCCTTGGCATCGCCGACCCTGCTGTTATGCCGGGTCCAAGCGGCGGCCTAGCTATCTATATAAGGACCATCTCGAAGTAGGATAGGGAAGGAGTTGTCAGAGCCACAAGTGTCATCCGAGGCGGGCCGGCTTCCACCAGGTAGGAAGTCGTTTGTGGCGAATGAGGAACCGGGAAGCCGTTTGTGGCGGCTAGAGAGCCGCTTGTGGCGAATGAGAGCCGTTGAAGCCGTTTGCAGCGGATAGGGAATCGCTTGGTTGCAGATAAGGAGCCGCTGTCCAAGATATTGGCCGAAGTCGGAGGAACACAGACATACGGAAGCAAACATCCAGAATCCAAGAGAGAACCTCGGCTGGCTATAAGTAAGGAGTCGAGACGGAGGAAGATAGAGAGGGCAGAGATCAATGCATCACCGTGGGCACCCCTACCTGAGACCGCCAGTGACCACCCGGTATTACGTAGGAGGGACGCCCGTTACTCCCCATCACTCTGTACTATTGCCTTCGGCCTAGCCGTAACCTGACAACACCTTGCACCTGAGGCCACTATGATCCCATAACATCTAGATATATAAAAGCGATGCCTATTACTTATAGCGGTTAAGGCATTATTACTCTCATCTTTATCCTCGCTCGAGTCTCCCTGACGCTGAATTATGAGTAAGGCCAACTACAGTGATCTTGCGTAATAGAGAGCCTCCCAATGTACATTTAAATAGGGCTTTCTTCAAAGCAGTATTTCAGTAGGATGGACCGGGAAAAAAGAGGATAAGCAAATTATCTATAAAAACAGCCTCTCTCTAGTGCTCGATCACTTGAAACGGCTTAAAGCAGCCGCTAGTAGAACGCGTTGTACGTGGCGACGGGGATCCGGGTATATTCAATATAGAACAGGTCGTCAAGCAAATTACGGAAGCGCTAATTCGGGTAATTCAAACGTACGAGCCAAAGTCTCCATATCCTAGCTGTGCACAGGTACGTATCTCCGAAACAGGCCTCGGCATCCGAGAGTTGCGTAGCATTATCAGTAATTCCACATTGTGCGCTGTTATGCTCTTGATATGCCAATGCCTCAACTTCAATATAGGGGCAGCTTGTTGTGCTTTTAATAGACAGATGATAAAAAGTTACCTCGGACATAAGCGTTTTGGCCGAAAATATACGCAATCGGGGATAAGCCCCATCTTTAGCTTTTGACCAGTAGAAATCCTCCATTACTCTTGTAGCCGACCGTAATTGGCTCAATGACTTCAAATTTTCCACCCAACTTTTGTAGAATTGAACACCAGTTTTCATACTCTGTAGTATCGCCGACGTCCCCAGCAGTAAAGGGGAAAAATCGGCAACATGACCATGGAGTTGAAGAAAAAAGCATATCACATTCCGAAAAGTGAAGACGAGAAGGTGTCCATTGACATCGCCGAAGCGGACTGCCAAGCCGAAGGCCTTGTCCTGACGACATGGACCTCGTCTTTTATCCTCTCTAACCAAATTCACAAAATCAAGATCGACCATTCTCAACTCCACAGCGACGCATATTCCGTCCTCGAGCTCGGCGCCGGTACCGGACTCACAGGTCTCAGTACTGCTTGTATTTGGGGCACAAAAACGTTGCTGACGGACCTGCCCACTATCGTCCCCGGGTTGCAGGTAAACGTCGACCTCAATGCCAATATCCTGGGGCGTGAAGGCGCAAGCGCGGCTTGCGGCACGCTCGACTGGAATCAACCAGATACGATACACATGCACTCGCCTGGAGGCGATGACGACGGCAAAACAATCAAAATGACGGAGGACAACAAGTTTCCCGTCATCCTAGCTGCAGATACGATGTACACCGAAGAGCACCCAAAGTTGATCAGCCGCACCGTTGCGAAGTGTTTGAGGCGGTCGTCAAACGCTAGATTCATTATCTGCTATGCGATGCGCATCGCCTACATCGACCCCATCAGGGAGTTCTGGGGGCTGATGGAAGAGGAGGGTTTGGTGGTTGAGCAGGAGGGGAGGGAGGAGATTGATTTGAAGGAGTGGGATGATGAGAAGTTGCATGAGTGGGCTGTTTTCAAGTGGGGGGATTTATAGAGACCCGGTCTGAGTGTTCTCAGCAGTCCGTATACGCATCCGCGTAATTGGATCCTGCCAATTACGGTTGGAGAACTGTGGGGTTTTATTCCCTTTTACACACATGTTGTCTGCTTGTTGGTTTCCAGTAGACTAGATACAGTATTATGAAAATAGAAACAAATAGAGAGAAACGATGCGGTCATAATGGCATAAATGGCATATAAACAAACCGTGCTGATTTACTCACTGATATGACAGCCAGCCCCGATCCCTCAAGTATATAATCAGGAGATCAGAACATAGGCGAGGTAGGCGGAATCTAAAATCAGGGCTCAAAATAGATTTTATGAACATTTCCGAGTGCCAACCTCGATTCGATCAGACCGATGCAGGACCGACATGTTCCCGATGAAGGGAGCACGTCGAGCCAAGAAGATGCAGGTTTGTGCGGCATTGGACAATAAGGACGGGCCTCTCGTGACATCTCAGCAATCTGCAAGGGATAGCCAATTACTTTGAATCACACTTGCCACAGTTCACCTTCCTCAATACAGCTCTCTTGCCTGAACTGGCCACAGCACATCATCAAACAATCATTTTAGGGCCCTAGTGACTTTATTTGAAGGAGTGGCGACCAAGAGGCACCAGATTATCTCATTTCATCAAATAAAAGCGGCCGCGATGTATTGAGGAACCGTGCAGTACCCGTACAGACGCCTTCGGCCGCTAGCGTCTTCAGCCCATCCTCAGCTGCCCGCTTCGGGATCTCTGTCAGGCGTCCTTAGTTTCGTCATTCTGTAACTCAGCCCTAATATGAGAGATGGTTGGCGTCGAGGTGGCTTAGGCGTATAAAACGTTTGCGTCTGTCCTGGAAATCAGTCTTCGCATACACGGAGCTATCAACGCAAGGCTACAGGTGGTTTCATTCAACAAAACCACTGAAAAGGAATTCTGGGCATGGTATTCGGGTACATACTTTCGCTACTGATGTGTTTTCGATCCTAGAGTTTAGTCAGTTATATTTGTTTATTAAATCATTATTTCCCAAACTCTGCTTTATAAAGAATGTCAGTCCATTGTTACTTCTTTTCCTAGCATCATGGTCCTGGAATCACGAATCAAAGCGCATGATGCAGCAACTATCACCATACAGTAAGACTAGCTAGAACCTCATCTCACTACACCGTCGATTGGCTAACAACACCACAGACCCGGTCGGTATGCTACAATGTACGAGGGAACCTATTCAACGAGTACAAGCCACGAATGCTGTAGCGCCAAGACCCAATTCCCGCGGCGCATAAAGCCTGGGAAACTGTGGCACGTCTCGAGGACTTCGGTGTGATCCAGGATGAATTATTGCAGATGGGAAAAGACCCCGAACCAGCTGTCATGGTCTCCGAAGAATGGGGTCTAGGACCTGATCTGTATCTCGTTCAACTGGACAGCCAGCATCACCTGCACTGTCTCAACACCATTAGGAAAATGTCATATTTCGATTATTACATGGTATGCAAGTTTAAAAACATAAGGTCATGTTATGGAAACATAGAATACACCAGAGCTTTCGAAGATAGAGTTGCTGACCATATCCCAGCTCGACCATGCCAGAGCGAAACAAGGCTCACATTGGCCATTTTCGACATTCTACTCCAGGCCTTGACTTGCGCGCCGAGTCTGGGTTTCATCCCACATGTCTGGATGGAGACGCAGAAGCGTCCCTATCCCGATTTCAACATCAGGCGGCAATGTGTTGCCCACGAGGAGACATTGAACAGACAGAAAAGAGTCGCTGTGCCTGATAGAGGCGGAATGGGACCTCATTTTAAGACTTCAGGGCGCGGTCGAGATTGAAGCGGAGCCATCACTTTTGTTGATAGATGACGATGTGGGATAGTGAGCGGATGGCTGGTTGATCTTATACTACTTCCATCTGCTCTAATGGTTACGACATCAGTAGGTGGCGGCACCACGCCGACTACTTCACATCGAAAGTTTTGCAGACGTGGATGTCTCCAGGAGATTGTGTGCACTGTGGACTATAAGTGGAACTTATGAGCTCTCGAGGGCGAGCAAAACGGGGCATAGTTCATCGTCCCCTGCTAAATACGTTACGTCAACCAAATCTGTAGTAGCCACATTACCATGATTTGATACACCACGACAGCTTTGGGCCATAAGCGGTGAGTGGGTCTAGTTTTCTTCGCCACAACCAAGAGATTGTTTGCCCGACAAACTACACCCTAGATTTTTGTTTTCCTCATTACGATGCGAATTGTGGTCTGACATGTATACTCGGTGTATTTACTCGGCGAATTACATCGACCGGCCTCGCATCCGAGATGCTCGGCGTCGGGTCGGAGCTAGACGCGCGTCACATCATCTCGTGTTGACATGGGTCTACGCAATCTTATCTTATCGATCAGTCGACTCCTGTGATATCTTCTATCAAGTCTTGGCTTCGTATTGTCACTATTTTTTGTTTCATTCTTCCCATGGTTTGAACTCGACAGCCAACTTACGAAACACAGGTCTGATCAGTCAGTCCTTGTGCATTAGCGATGGGTCGCAAACTCTGGGTCGCAGGCCTCCTGGCCGCAGCCGTACCTCACTCCCTCGCAGCCAACGAATTCGGTCCTAGCGAACAATCAGCACATCGTCGCGGGCCGGAGATCTTCAATGCGGTGCATAATTCGATGCGTCAATGGGGATCTTCGCTTCACCACAATGGCATGTCCTTCTTCGTCGCCACGGTTCCAGAAGGTGTTTTATTCCACCATGGAAACCAGAGGCCTGAGTCGCCCACGGATCCAGACTGGTTGGCGTATGAGATCGAGCACGCGGAACACTTCGCGCATGGTCGAAGACGACGTGGGCCGCCGGGACGGGGACCGCCTGGAAGGGGACCGCCTGGACCTGACGGGCCATCTGGATTTTACGACGGAGAGATGCCAGACGATGGCCAACATGTCATAGCCGAGCATGATAAACAGGATGAGGAAGAAACTCACGGGTACCTGCACGTCTACAAAACGACTCGACCCCTAAAGTTCCTCTACGTCGACGGCATGGGCGGCGGAAAGACCAATATGGGCACGCTCGACTCCCAGGACTACCTGCTCAGAGGCCTAGACTCCACCGCTATTCAAAAACAGACAGAGGAACACGAAAAGGGAAAGGGACACCACGCAAAAAGAGCCCCAGGTGGTCCCATGGACGAGCAACAACGCGCTATCGATCTCTGTAAGCTGTGTAAGGAATGGGATCTCCAGGGTGTCGTACGAATGGAGGCCGGCTTCGAGATCATCAAGTGCGATTTCTCCGATGGACTGGAGCAGATCCAGGCCCTGCAACGGCCGGATGACGAAGGAGACAGGGGAGGAGGTGGCATGCTCGGCGACATGTTCGACGGCATCGAGTACGTCCGCGGCCTGTCGGAACGGTACGATGGGATTGGTTCGACAAGGACCATCATCGATTATTCATCCATGGTGTCGGCCTTCTTTTTCCCTGTCAACCTTACCAACCCCGACCCTACGCGACCTGATTTGCCGAGACTGTCTTCGACGACCGATGCGGAACTTCTGGCGATGAAGGAATACTTGGCCAATGTCATCGCCCAACGTCGGGGTGAAGAAGGGCGCACCATCGACTGGCAGGACGTGTCTGACCTGGTCGTGAGTCGCTACGCCGACAGGCTGAAGTACATGGTTGAATCCGCCGAATCTATCGAGCAGCTGGCGCACGAAATTTCCTTCCTCCTGAACGTCTTCATCGACTATTCCGCAGACGACACCAACTCTGCATCTGCCATAGGCCGCTGCACTGATTTCTACCTGGGTTCAGTAGTCCCCGTCACCGAGGCGGACCACATGATCCTCACGGGTTTCAAGGCTGTGTCTCGCGAAATCTGCACCTCGCTGTTCCGCGTGCGCAATTTGCTCATTCTCGATCCTGCGCCGGATGTGAAGTCTTTGACCGCTTCGAAGAGTGCACTGAGGGCGTTGATGGATACTCTTAATTGGACGAGGTTCAAGCGCTGCTCGCGGTGTGCGATTGACGAGGTGTGCTTGATTCCCATGTGGCCTATGGGATTCGTGGAGGATTATGATTCCCCGAGGTGTACGAATGGGTCGGATACGAGGAAGCGCGAGAGTTATTGGCGTCGTGATAGACCTGGTGGCGGAAAGGGGAGGGGCCCGCCACCTAGGGGTTAGTTTCATTACTGGCATTATGTATATATATGCCTTCATATTTTAGGCAAGTGCGAGTAGCAGTAGTATATAACGGGCTTGTGGATAGTAGTGGCATATCGGTGCTTGAAAATTGATGACAAGTCGTCAGTGCATGAGCTGGAGAGGCGAGCTGTGGCGGAGACATAAATCAACCACACCCCATGCATGTGGAAAGTGGTCACTATCTTAGCGGAGATCGCGACAAGCCCTGAAGAATGCGCCTCGTTGCCGTGCTTCCGAGGTCACCCCACCCGTCCAGCTGTGCCTCTTGCAGCCGTGGATATTGTGACAAGTTAATGACAATTTCTCAGGATCCAAGCAAAGGGAGCTTGACGATGAGTGGCGGACAAGGTTGGCGACTATCCCACCAATAGAAACTCCTCCCCACGTGTACCCCACGCCACGAACACCAGGGTTGTACCTGGACATCCTCCCACACACTCTCCAACAGAAGGTTTAGTCCCTGAAGATCCGCTGCATTTCGCATATCGCAAGAATATTATCCCTCTAGTCGCATGGTACCCCTCCCTTACCCCAGATGATCAAGACTTGGACATTCCTTGTATTTATCCTCGTAGCTTTTCCCAGTGAGGAGAATCCAACAATGCTAGAGTATATGCGGAGAAATGGGTCCCCTACAAATGCTAGTCATTGTGTACATCAAACCTCATTTCCGGAACCACCGAGATTCAGGAACACGGCCCGGAGAAATGCTACATGAAGAGCGCCGCCATCTTGCCAATATTTTGGTTTCTTGGCCTCTTTGCTTGTATGTTCCATCGCGTTTGTCCTTGTCCAACAAGCTCCTCCGCCACACGACACGAAGATGAAGTTCTCCCAAGTCGTCTACGTGCTCTCGTGCGCAGCGTCAGCGATTGCATCGCGTGCCGTGCAAGGCCTCCACAGGCGAGGTGATCACGTCTCTCCCCGACCTCAGATCGTCTACTCGCCCGAGACGCCAACGACGCCACCTCCGACGCCCAAGCAGCGTAACGTGACGTGCTTCGTCGAGAGTCATGGTGATTATGCCACGGATGACTCCGAATTTATCCTTGATGCGTTTCACAAGTGCAACAATGGCGGACATGTCGTGTTCCGTGAGAGTGAGACGTACATTATAGGCACCGCAATGGACTGGACGTTCTTGCAGAGTATTGATATTGGTATGTACTTATGCAGTCCCGTGATGCGCAATGCTCACACAGTCAATCCAGATATCCAGGGTGAAATTCTCTTCAGCAACGACACGACATACTGGCAGGCGAACTCGTTCCCTTTCATCTTCCAGAACGTCACTTCATTTTTTAAACTCGGCGGTGACGATGTCTTCATCTATGGCGGTATATATGCCCTTACCAGTTATCTGTTATTTCCACTGACTGTTGCTCTTCAGGTGGCACTCTCAACGGCAACGGCCAAGTCTGGTACGATGCTTACGCAGCCAACATCTACACTCTTCGCCCTGTCTTGGTGGGTGTCGATGGTCTGACCAATAGCATCGTTTCCGACCTTGTTCTGAGGTATAGCCCGGAGTACTACCATTTCGTTGCCAATGCATCCAATGTGGTCTTCAATAACATCGACATTGCGGGCGGCAGCGTCAGTGAGAATCCTGCAAAAAACACCGACGGATGGGACACATACCGCAGCAACAGTGTCACGATCCAGAACTCTGTCATCAACAACGGCGACGGTGAGCAAAATTCGAAATCTACACATTGATCCCCGCGTACTGACTGTGAAACTAGACTGTGTTTCTTTCAAGCCTAACTCAACCAACATCCTCGTCCAAAGCCTCTTCTGCAATGGCTCCCACGGCATTAGTGTCGGCTCACTAGGCCAATACGTCGGCGAATACGACATTGTCGAGCACGTCTTCGTAAGCAACATTTCGATGCACAACGCCTCGGACGGGGCCCGCATCAAAATCTGGCCCAACACGGCCTCAGCTGTGTCGGGCGACCTGCAAGGCGGCGGCGGTGATGGCCGAGTAAACAACATCACCTACACGGACTTCTTCATCGACAACGTCGACTACGCCATAGAGGTCGACCAGTGCTACGGCCAGAAGAATCTCACGCTGTGTCTGGAGTACCCCAGTCCATTGACGATTACCAATGTGGTTTTCAATGGGTTCCAGGGGGTTACGAGCGATCATTATATGCCCCAGGTGGCGAATTTTGCTTGTAGTTCAACGACGGCTTGTTCGAATATTGTGTCGACGGATTTCGATGTGTTGAGTCCCAATGGGACGAATGAGGCATATTGTTTGAATTTTGAGCAGGAGGTTTTGGATGGGGTTACGTGTGTTGATACGTTGTTAGGCTTCAACTAGTGGTAATATAGGCATCCCTCATTCCAGCACGGGGGGAATATCATGAAACTGCCTGAATCCTTCCAACATTTGTCGTATAAGCCATGGATTCTGAATCGGCCGCAAGGCACAGAGGCATCTCAAGAGCCAATGGCAGTTCCCCCTTTTTGCAGCGCGCAAGATCGAGACTCCACAGACAAGTCTAAATTTGGCGTCGAATTCGACGTGTACGAGTTGCGTCCTGGCTCTTAAGCTGTGAATTGACTTACTACCCGGGGATAAGTAGATATCGAAATAGGGAACTATATTTTTCTGCCTGCGGAGGGCCGGCCTCAGCTGACAGGCTGTGTCGGGAAGGTTTCGCCCGCCAACCGGTAGAACTCCGGAACCGCCCTAGCCAAAGAGGAGATCTCGGACGCTCCCACCTAGCTTAGATTCCTTCAGAATCAGTCTTCCAATATACACACCAATATTATTGGCGTATCACTAGCCGCTCTTTGCACTACCTGACTGTTATCCTTGAGACATGTGGTATCCCGTTACATTTAATCGTTACATGTTATTCAAGGGTAAGGTTACTACACTTTGGGACGCTAATTAAGAGCTAAGCTGTCGTCGAAGGACTCAAAAACTACAGCTACAAGATGATTTACGTGCAAGCCGTCGTCGTACGAGAACGGCCGAAGCACGCCGATAGTGCTGTAGGATCTGCGGAGAGCGCGTACATAATACTCGTACTTATCAGAATCATAAAGATGCGTACGCGGAAGAGGATTCCGATTAACGTACCCTACAGTTTCATTGAACACACGGTCCACTGCACCCTTTCCCGCATTTCCGTGCAACCCAGGTTTCCTCCCTTGTTTTCCAACTTTTACCATGGTACGTAATCGCGCTTTAAGCGCGCTTTAAAACAATCCTCACCTAAGTGTACGATCCGTGCACGGATCTACAATATCCCCTGTATAACCTTACGTCACCGATATAGCGGCGGACTTCACGACAGGATATACGGTTACTAACGTAAAAGCGTACTTATTCCGAAGAAGAGGCGATCGTACGATATGCGTACGAGGAAGAGGATTCCGATTAGTTAAAATTATTTTTAGTTACGATCAAAGATATTGAAGTTATTCGTACGGTGCCAAGACAGAGTGGCCAACTTGCTTGTGGGGTACGTTTACTTTTCTTATGTTACTCCATTCAATTCCCCTTCATATCGATAAGTCTCATGAGTGTCTGACCTCGGTGTCTTCTGGGCGCAAATACTCGCACAACCTCTGTTGTGGTTGTTGATAGTTTGATCCGCTTCATGTCCTGAAAGACCGGTCCCTCTTAAAGTGCCTGCCTTAATCTAAGCTCGTATGGATATTCCGCAAAAGTCAAATTTGTGGAGAACTGGGAGATGTCAGAGTAATTCAATCCCGGTGTGCTCTGACGAGCCCCTCCAATATTTGTTGCTCATCAACATCCACATCTGTCTGGGCCGGCGTCTCAGGCACGATCCGGATCAAGAAAACCATGCACGGGATTGTGACAGCCAGTAAGGCGCAATTAACATAGAATGGTATCCTGGCATCTCCCCCGACGCTCGAGTTGATGGCGTACGAGATAGCCTGGCCAGCGGTCTCGAAGGCACGGAAGAGACCGCCTGTTCGAGACGACGACTTGACGTCCGTGGAGAAGGTCCCGAGGATCCAGTACAGGGAGAGTTGAGTCCAGTAGCCGGTGGTGAAAATGATTAGGTAGGGGAGGTAGGCTTCTGCCCATTGCCTACCATCACTGAGCGGTGAATGGTGTTAGTTCCGCGGGTGCAGGGAATAATGGGATGGGATGTCAACGTACAGTTCATAATCCAACGCGGCTGAGGCCGTGCCGAACTTGTGGTACTCGAAACCGATCCAGACGAAACAGGCCGCTTGGGGGATGACCCAGAGAGCGAACGCAATCCATGCTCGTTGGCTTTGGGACCAGCATTTTCGGTCTAGCAGCCGCCCGTAGGCGATGACCATGAAAATGGTGATTGTTGCTGAGATAGTCAAAAACCAGTCCTTGTAGATAGTGAGGCATACTTACGAGTGATCAGAGACGACAGTGCACGTGCCCGAACGGAGAAGTGGAGGGACAGATAGGTACCCATAGTCCCACCGTAGAAAAATGAGTAGAGAGCCGGGATGAAGACCAACCAAGTCTGGAAAGGTGCTTCGAGTTAGTGAGTTTCAGAGGTAGCTGGATAATTTTCACTCGCCTTTCTCCGCTGGGCATGCTTCCACAATGCTTCAAACTCTTGTTTCCAGGTTACGGTGTCAGTCGAGGGAACTTTGGAACCATCTCGCCGACGCACACGGTGGGTGGGTGACAGCATGAAGGCCCAAATCACACCAGTACATTCTAGGCATTGTTATTCAATCATGCTGCGATGCCAAGATACGGTGGACGAAAACACTCACCGAACCCGACGAAGATGAGGTACGTCGACCATGCAATGCTCCCAGATGAAGAGTTGGTGTTATTGGTAGCAAAGTTGATCGCACCACCGATCACACTCCCCGAATTACGCATTGCGGACCAAATCCCTGATAACCTCGTCATAAGCCTGTGTTCATGGCGTCTCGCAGGATTCGGGGCCGAACATACCTAGATATAACCCCCGGTCATTTTGGTGGGGATAAGAGAGCATTGCTGTCGTCTCCCCGACGTAGAGAAATCCGCCGGTGAAACCACCAAGAAGCTGGATTTGATCAAGTCAGAAAGCGTTTCGATGCGTTTTCGGTGAAAAGAACACAGCCAAAGCAGAGATGCATACCCTAGCGAAGAGCAAATACCAGTCCACGCCGTATCTAGCGCTCACGTAGTATCCAGAGCCATCCAGCGGCATCGCCACCGCAGCAATCATGCAAGCCCACTTGATCCCGAACTTGTTGATCAGAGGTCCACCAAAGAGCGTGATGATGCACCCCGAGGCATAGTTGAGGGCGTTGGCCAGGTTTGCGAGATATGGTGATGAGAGACCTCCACCTCCGAGATTGGAGATGGCATCAGACATGGCCGGTCCGACGAAGGATAGTCTGCGTAAATATCAGAATAAGTTCCATAGTTGATGCGCTGAAAACCTACGCCCCAAAAAGCACCATCTGGAACAGCACGCTCCGGTAGAACTTGGGAAACCGAGGCATCGTGAGATGAGTATCGTCCATTTCCGAGACCTGCTCTCCGTTGGTGTAGCTGGTAGCTTCCACACCACCGACAGAGTCTTCTGTTTTGTTGTCGACTGTGTTCTTCGAGTCCGCCATGTTGGGCAACAAAAAATGACAATGAAGGATGTTCCTTGAACAGCATGTGGATTTGCAAATCCAATGCGAGCTTTATAGCGCGCTACCCGTTTCTCCAACATGAAAATTGTGATAAATCTGACCCGATCCGGAGTAATCAAGATTCCCCATTGATCTATTGGCCGAGATGATACATCATATGGATAGTCACCATAAGGATAGTTATGTTGTATCTAAGATAAACGGATTGATGTACATATACGGCCCGGCTCCGATCGACCCTGGTAGAACTGTGGGTCACCAAGAATCAGGGTCTCGTTGATGCTACCCATTTATCCAACTCTATGACTACAGCATATTATTTAGCCATAGCCCGTGCGGAATGGCAAATTTTATATAAACTATGCCTCTTCGGGCGCGCTTTACCGGACAATACTGGTCCCGGATACCAATAGAGATTATGTCAAAATTCTCAGTGTGTATATAACCGTCAGACCAAGGGAACATGCTCACCTACGATTATCAAATAAAGTCGACGGATACCCCCGAAAAACACACTTGTCACATAACACCTCTTACGCGCGCATCGTTGCAGAATGGCTTCTCGGCACTCTCCAGACTAAGCTTGACAGACGCCTCGAGCAACGCTGCGGCATCCAACTTTTGTAGACTTTCCACTCGCTCCTTGGTGACGTGGAACGGCTCAGGAAGCGGAGGGTACGATGCAACAAGAGCAGGCGCGGTGTATTCGAGACCCAAGGAGTCCAGAATAAGGGGTGCAATGTGGGCGCTAGAAAGAAGAACTCGAGGCATGCCTTCGACATTATCAGTGTCTTTTTTCAAACCGTCTTTGGACTTGACGAAACGCTTACCATGGCCCGTGTATCCCGCGGCAATAAAGTGACAGTCATGGTCAGGCACAGCTCCTACGAAGGGAAACGCGTCTACACTCGACGACATGATTCCAGTCCAGACACCCCCTTCATCAACAGGTTTCCCTAGCTCAGCGGGATCTCCGCCTTGCCATCCCACGATATCAGACGCAGGCCACGACATGTAGAACTTGGGGACTCCATTAAACTGTTTGTCTTCCTCGTCATTGTTGAGGTAGCCACGCGGATTATGGACGAGGACTTGTTTAGCGCCGCCGACCATGATAGTGTTGTAAGGTGGAGGAAGTTGAAGATTGTAATTCTGTAAATGGTTAATTATGCAACTGCACTAAAAGGCCGGGAATCGGGAAGGGTGATTATACGTTGACCAAGCTGTCCCAGTGCTGCGCACCCGTGTTCTTGATAAAGCCCTCCGGCGCTCTAATGGCTGCTAGTGTTGCTCGCCCAGCAAAGATAAGGTTGCTGAAACTAGGTAGGAGATGTGAGGCCCATCGGTTCTATACGCATGCATTAGTAGATGTACCGCGCTGCATAGGGAAAGCAGAGGGGAGGGGGCGGCATACTGTTGCGTGCATAACTGTCTTCGTGCGAACTTCGCCTCTTGGTGTTTGGACTGTGATCCATCCAGTAGCATCTCTTTTGGAAACACTCGTAGCTGGTGTGTTGGCCTGGAGGTTGAGGTTCCCGGATTCCATGACAATGCGGAGCATAGCGTGTACAAACTTGTACGGCCATCTTCAGACTCTGTCAACGACCATTCGCGACGCAGCCAGGAGATAAATAAGGGGACCTCACATTTGACCCGAAGGATGCACCACCGCCCCTATACACCCCTTCATCTGCGTGAACTCCTCCGCCGCCTCGGGATCGTCAATAAGTCTGCAATCTCTAATCACCTCACCATCCTGACCATGATCCTTCTTGAAAGCCTCGTAAGCGCCCTTAAGCCGGATCCAGGCTTCGTCCGACATAGCCGCGTCGAACGTCTCGCCCAGCTTGAAGCACACCTCCTCGGCGATGACTTCCACATCTAGCAGTTCCTTGAAGGCGGGCAAGTGAGCCATTTCATGCTTGATCAGTGCGAGGGCTCCATCGGGTCCGAATCGACCGGACCAGAGGGGGTAGCGAGAATAGGCATGTGGCCTTAGTTGTCCACCTTAGTTGTTGGATCTGAGTCAGTCCTATCTACTAGTAGTCCAGGGCACAGGCAGGCCGTGACTTACCATTCCGACCTGTGGCACCTCCACAAATGTCCCGCGCCTCCAGCATGAGCACTTTGGGTTGTTGGCCATTCTTTTCCGTGTACTACTTTCTCTCTATTAGACATTGGCCCGCTGCAAATGCAGATGAGAAGATCTTACTTTGTGAAGCCAGTATGCCGTCGTTGCACCCGTGTAGCCACTTCCTACAATCACCACGTCTACCTCTTTCGGCAACTCATCCGTGGACCGAAAGTTTCGGAGACGAGACCCGGCAGCCTCGATCCAATATGATTTGGTCGGATTATCGATGGGCAGAACCATTGCGTCGAACTGAAGTGAGCAATCGCCAATGGTCGACAGATCGATGCCTTGGAATGTCTTGGCCACTTGGCTCACTATTTAGCTAGCATCGGAGTCGGCTTCGGCATGGGCTGTGGGTCGGCTCCGATGATCCGAAAGCGAGCGAACAGCTTACCGCCGGGGATACACCGCCCGGTGGTTCCGCAAGCGTAGTTAAGTACTGTCGGACTTATCGTGCGCAGTAAAAAGGCATCGATTAAAGTGATCTCTTAGCGATTTGGTCATCAGAGATCTCAAGTACACGTAATAATGCCACTGGCCCCCGAAGGTCGGAGAAGGCATACCGGCCCAATGGGGCTCGAAAAGTGGACAAGCGGTCATTTGGCTGGTATTGGGCCAGGGGTGGAACTGTGGCTTGGTGCTGCTCAATTGTGTTAGCTAGACCGAACAAATCGATGAGGAACGGATGTAAGAGCTACGGGCGACATTGCGGGGTTTGTGGGGTTTGTGGGGTTTGTGGGTGTTGTGCGGTCGACTTACTAGTTGCGTTGCTAGTGGGTTCTAGGTGCGCAAATACACGGTTCGTATTGAAGTCGAGATGTTCATCTGATTTTCCCCTGGAAGTTTATTCTCAGTTTCCGAAGATATCCAGCAATCTAAACTAGGCTGAAATGAGAATATTAACATAACCCCTGGCATGCTGAAACGTGAGTAGCGTTGGAACTTCATTAACAAAAGTCTCCCTTGAGTCAGTATCTCTCGAACAGGGGCAAGGCCGCTTATCGCTTTGTACTTAAGGCTCTAATAGCCACGATAATTTGTAACATCTCCTAGCCGTCCGCAGAGACTACTTCCAATAGATGCCTTGCATTTGGTATAGTTACAGTCCAATAGGCGATAACAAGGTATAAAGGGATAATGTCCCGGATACGACGGGATGCAATTCCTTGTCCCCTAAATTCGGGCCTCATTGATCGCAACTATATCGTAGGCCACTATAGGCTGCGTTGAATATAGGTCAACCATCGATCAGGGCCATGGGACCAAACCTTCACTTAGTTGTTGGTGACTATATTTGAGATTATATGTATTACTGGGTGATATGATAGCCTCGCAAGGTAATTATTAATATTCTTCCCCGGAACTTTCAATGAAACAAATGAACTCTAAATCGCAAGTATTTAATTAAACCCCACAGCCAAGCAGGTGGTCTTATCAATTGCTTATTTAACTTGCAGTCAAATTAAATTCCTTTCTTTCCCGCTATTTGGTGACGACTTAGTGTACCTCTCGCCACGACAAGACCTGTCTATCCCACCGGCTCTACGCAAGCCGGGTCTAAGTCAAGTCGGACAGGTGCATACACGAGCCAAGACGAGACCACGGCATTAAGCACTGAGCCGAGACGGCGCTTACCTTATTCTAACCACGTTTTCTATTTCATTTTCATGATCACAAGCTACAGCATACTGGAAGCTGCGTTACTGCACTGTGTCTTGGTTCTTAACCACGATGTGACCTTGTCTCCAATGCAAGTGCCGGGATTACTGGAAGGTTAATCCCGTCTCCTCCAACCCCTCAAACCTGCGTTCATGATGTACTACGCAGTTATAAGGGGTATAACACACGCTCGCATTTGCTTTTGCTCAACCTGAGATTTCACTGTCACTTACGCCAGTTTCCCACGCGAAAACGCAAAGATGTGCTCGCCAATCCTGTGTATCACAGTCCTCATAGTGCTTCTGTGCGGAACCACATCTGGGGCGCAGCATTCACCCACAAATACAACCCTAGCCTACCCCAAGCAGCGCGGCGCTGCATACGACTACACAACATTGGTGCGAAACCAAACCACTCGCGCCGATGGCGTAGTGGAAATGTTCCGGGTGGCCTGGTCCGGATACGTAACGTATGCATTCCCGCATGACCAGCTGCGTCCCCAAAGCAACAACTACACGGACCCTTTCAATGGATGGGGGGTAACTGCTATTGATGCGCTGGATACGGCCATTATCATGGAGCAGACGGATATTGTGACCTTCATTTTGGACTATGTGCCATCCATTAACTTTACTCGCACCAACACGCCTGAGCCGACGGTTGTTAGTCTCTTCGAGACCAACATTCGCTATCTGGGCGGGATGTTAAGCGCATATGACCTCCTGAAGGGCCCGTTCGCGCATTTGGGCGTGGATGAATCCAAAGTGGATGTTTTACTGGCTCAATCGCAAAGCCTGGCCGACGCTCTCAAGTTCGCCTTTGACACCCCAACTGGAATACCAGTGAACCGCATCTTCCTCGAAAACCACACCTTCTCCGACATAGCCCAAATGGCTGACGGCACGCAAACCGCCGGCTTAGCCGAATTGGGCACTCTGGTCCTCGAGTGGCAGCGCCTGTCTGATCTCACAGGCGATCCATCCTATGGCAACCTAGCTCAAAAGGCAGAGACCTACTTCCTGACCCCCTCGATTGAGGTCTGGCCCGGCCTCACAGGGGGTAATTTCAGCACTCAGACGGGTGAGATTCTGGATGCCTACGGCGGCTGGACGTCCGGGAATGACTCGGCGTACGAATACCTCATCAAGATGTACGTCTACGATCCCGACCGGTACGCGCTCTACGGCGACCGGTTCGCACAAGCGGTCAACTCCACGATTGCACATCTACTTTCCCATCCATCAAGCAGACCAGACCTAACCGTAGCCGCCGTCTTCGCCGGCACCCAAACGCAAAACGAAAGCGACTCTCTCTCCTGCTTCATGGGCGGGTCCTTCATCCTAGGCAGCTCGGCCCTGCAACGCCCCGAATGGCTCCCTGTCGGTCTGGATCTTGCGGAATGGTGCGCAAACGGGTATCGCTACGCTGCGTCGGGAATCGGCCCTACGCTCTACAGCTGGGACACTGACGAGCTTGCGAACCCCAACAACACGAACCAGACTGACCTGTATTCGCGCGCAGGGTGGTTCATCCCCCTGAACTACTATGCTGCCGGGCAGGCGCCAGAAGCGGTCGAGAGCTGGTACTACGCCTACCAGGCGACCGGGGACCAATACTGGCGCGATGTGGCGTGGCGATATACGCTGGATTTAAATAGAACGCAGCGGGTTGAGAGCGGGTTCGCGGCTGTGCTCAATGTGCTTGAGGTGGAGGGGGGCGGGAATGGGGTTAATATGCAGAGTTTCTTATTAGCGGAGGTATTTAAGTATATGTTTTTGGTGCAGAGCGAGAACAAGGGGGAATGGGATGTTTTGCATGGGGGAGAGAACGGTGAGAAGAAGAATTGTTTTGTCTATAATACGGAGGCGCATCCCGTTAGGGTGGCGGCTAAAAATCCGGTATGACGGGGTATACAGGATAGGAAAGTATGTGGGCTGAGGGTACCGAGTAAACAACACATATTGTGTATTCTGCTTTTGGACTCTTGATAACTCAGGCATGAAGCTCGGGGTTGTGCTTTGCTGGTAATATTGCCTAGTATAGGCACTCGCAAGCGGGTCAAATACTCCTATAAACCATGAGATTTCATGACAGGAAGTCGTAATCATGGAACGAAATCGACCAATTATGAGAGTGGCTCAAATCTGACAAATAACCCCTTCCACGTTGGTGTCTTGGCGGTGATATATTCTTGTCGTCGTCCAATATTGAATTGACGCCATCCTCGTGTGATTGACGTGCTCGTCCACTTTTAACTTGAACCGCCAAACACTGCAACCACACATGCAGTCGTCACACCAGGGACCCCGGCAACGACTGCATCTAATTCCTACGCCGCCAAATACGCCTGCGAAGCTCTGATCCATGTAATATCACAGCTCATCAAGCTCGATATCATCCACAAATTCGAGGCACTTGCGAAGCCCTTGCACGCCATTAGCTTGTCCCCCCTCTTGACGTGATATTGCACCATAAGGTAGCTAGCTTCAGTGTCTGAAGCCGCGAGCTAAAGCTACCAGAGACTTGGTATTTTTCACGTCGGTCTTGCGGTAGAAAGGAAGTTTGACCCTGCCCAGAACCATGTCTAGTTGCATCGGTCCCGGGAGTGAGAGGGCCGGGAGAAGGGGCCGTTTTTCTCGTGCGGGTCCAGGGTGTTGGGTTGTATCACTGCATCACTGCATCACTGCATGGCGTAGATTGTCGAGCGGTATATGAGACGTGGGAGCCAAGATCTTACATGCTGCTTCTTGTTCAATTGACTCTTTTCACGTTTATCCAACCAATCCTTATATCTCTCCTTGGATTTTGCCCTCTTCAGGTCATCCGACGTAATGCTCAAGGACTTTAACGACGGAGTGCGTATCTCGGAGCCCAAGGTCGAGGATTCTTCGAGCGAAAAGCTGGGTTTGGGAAATGGCGAAGTCTTTGCCGACGGAGGAGGGACGCGACATTATGCGCCTATTGCCGAGTACGAAGGATCGCATCGATATGATCCAGAAATACAGTGGTCAGAGAAGGAGGAGAAGAAGCTAGTTCGGAAAGTGAGTAATTGCATTACCACTGGCTTGAGTTTGTGGCAAGTGACTAACATTGAATTAGCTTGATTATAAAATCTGTTCATGGGTCTGCCTCATGTTCTTCGCACTTCAACTAGACCGGGGGAACATCCAGCAGGCTTTATCCGACAACATGCTCGACGACCTGGGATTTAACACAAACCAGTACAATTACGGCATGACCATCTTCTACCTTTGCTTGTGAGTCTTAAATTCGATCCTTCCTTTCCAAATTCGCCAATCCAATGCAGCAAGCATACACTAACACAATCCAATGCAGTCTGAGCGCCGAACTTCCCTCCCAGATGATCTCCAAGAAACTCGGCCCCGACGTATGGATCCCAATCCAAATGGTCTCCTGGAGCATTATCGCCTCCTGCCAGAGCCGCCTCACAGGCGAGTCCACCTTCTACGCCACCCGTGCGCTGCTCGGCCTCATCGAAGGCGGCTTCATTCCTGATGTTGTGCTCTACTTGAGCTACTTCTACAAGAGCAAGGAATTGCCCATCCGACTTAGCTTCTTCTGGAGCGCCTACATATCGACTAACATTATCTCTGCGTTCTTGGCATATGGAATTTTGCATTTGCGCCAGTTGACGGGCTGGGCAGGATGGCGATGGCTCTTTGCCTTGGAGGGAGGGTTGACGGCGTTTATTGGATTGTTATCGTGGTTTTATCTGCCGCCCTCTCCAACTGAGACGGCGAGTTGGTTCCGTGGCAAGGATGGCTGGTTCAGTGAGCGGGAGGAGAAGATCATGGTGAACAGGGTTCTTCGGGACGACCCCGGCAAGGTGAGTCCTCCGCCCTTTGATCAACGTGATGTATGATTACTGACAGTTATATCTTCAGGGTGACATGCACAACCGCCAAGGCCTCACTCTTTCCTTACTGTGGCAAGCCCTCACCGACTACGACCTGTGGCCTGTCTATATTTACGGTCTCACTTGGTCTATCCCCGCTACTCCCGTCAGCGCATACCTCACCATCAACCTCAAGTCCCTAGGTTTCAACACTTTCCAGACAAACCTGTTGACCGTTCCGGCTTACGTTCTGTTCCTACTTCAGCTGATCTTCTGGACCTGGGTATCGGAAAAGATTAACAACCGGTTTCTCATCGTCATGCTCGCTCAGATCTACATGCTGCCCCTGGTGCTCTCGCTAGAACTTCTCCCGCTGAGTTCGAGCCCGTGGTCTTGGTATGCGCCTAGTGTTATGTTGATTGGGTATCCTTATATACATGCGATTGTAAGTCACTCCGTTCAGCTGGCCCAAAAAGAAAGGGTGGCAACTTTGCACGAACAGCGGCTAACTTGTGAATAGCTCGGTAATTACAACCCTATTCGGGCTTAAAGTTCTGCATTTGGACAATGCTAACATTAGTAAAGTTGCTCTTATGTCAAGGAATGCCGGGTCTGTGAGAACTCGAACAGTGGCTAGCGCTATATACAACATGTGCGTCCAGGCGAGCAACATTATCTCATCCAATGTAAGTCACTAAGACACGAATCTACGATTATTTTAGCATGACTAAACTAAGAATGCCTTAGATATATCGTGACGACGATAAACCATACTACAGGTATGCCTCCCAGAATGAAGCCATACCACTGACGTTTATACTAACAAACATTTCTTATCTAGACGAGGCAACAAAGTCCTCCTCGGACTGGTCGCATGGAATATTGTATTCTGCATTGGCATGAAGGTTTACTATATGTGGAGAAACAAGCAAAAGGGGAAGGCCTGGGATGCAATGACGCGTGAGGAGAAAAACCAGTATCTGACGACCACCAAGGAAGTGGGGAACAAGAGATCGGACTTCAGATTTGCCCATTGAGACGTTATTGGGAGGAATATATTGGGATGATGAGCTGGTAGGGCTCATGGGCAACGCCCCGAGTATATAATGGTGTAATTTAGAATGGTCCATGTCATCGACGCAGTTCCGGGTTCCTGTCTGGAGAGACCAATCTCGACAAGAATTCCTACTCGCGAAATAGACGAATAGAAGAATAAATATAATTGTCATGGACCATGGTTGGATTAGCTCCTAGCCCATGCACTGGTGCCGTAATGTTATGAAGGGAACCATGTGGTCATTCTTGCTTAGCCTGACTACCTTGGGTATATTGGTGCCATGAACCGTCTTTTTGCCACCGTTCTTTATCTCCACGAGTGTGGCGTTTGCTTCTGCCAAGTTTCCAAATTATCATCACTTTTTATTCTTCATAAATAACTTTCTATTGATATATAGCTACTAAGACGAAGATATAAGAAAAAGAGAGAGTGAGTGGGAGACAGTCGACACCTTCTAGTCTAATCAGTCTTTTTTATCTTTTTGATTAGTCTACTCCTTGTATTCAGATAGCACTTGTGTTCTCTAAATTAATCCCTCTCGCCCTCATCTCAACCTTAACCCCTACAGTTTCTGTCGTAGTCCAATTAGACTAAAATAGTGCGTAATATATTTTCGTTTTATTCCTCATAATCCTGATTATTTAACCAGGGTTTTTCTAGTTTGTACTGAAATCCAACAGTTAATATACTTTTAGATAGTAGTTACCATGACGGCTATTAGCGAGTTTAGCCTTAGGTGTAGGGGGGTACAAGTTAGGTAGGCACGGATTATAGTCTTTAGGAACCCCCCGGGGCAATTTGGGATTGGTTCCTCACGCACCTTGGTAGTACTAACACAAAGCCCAACACTCATGGTTGACAAATAGCTGTGAAATAGTAGTTACGACAAGAACAGGTGCTTGTGGATAAACGGGTTTGCTAAATATAATTCGAAACCAGAATTGGCACTGTAATGATATCCTCATCATCACAACAAACTCCAAACTTTATCAGCCGATATTTGCCACTAATCCTGGAACTTGCGATTGCCGTGGGTACCCGATAAGCCGTGGGGCAACGCTGATCTTGGCCTATGATTGGTCTTGCTAATTCCCAGTAGTCAGTGCATCTCGACTTTTTTACATCAGAAATTCGAGTCCAAGCTATCGCAATTGAGGCATTCTCGGCGGCTGTTTGCACATCTGCTTGAGGGCAGACGGAGTCCGAGGGACTGAAATTCGCATAATATGGCATCATCACCAGCCTGCCTCCACCGTATCCGCGCTCCTCTACAGCGCGCGCTGTCGGCCTCTCTCATTGCATCATCGCGGTCCTACGCCACTATCCCTGAAGCAACCTCAGCTACAACCACACCAGACCTGTCGACGACTATCACGAAACGTCGCCCGACCTATTTCAAAAACACAACCCTAGCTTCCCTAGATGAATTCATAGCGAACTCGTCCGCTTCATCTCCCCTCCCGCCCACCGAGGCCTACACCCTCCGAACCGCCGAAGTCGGCCCCGCCTCGAACCGCCGCACCATTACGCGCCTGCCCGAATGGCTCAAGACGCCCATCCCGGCCGGCAACGACCACTACAAGAGTATCAAGAAGGACCTGCGCGGTCTGGGGCTGCATACCGTCTGCGAGGAGGCCCGATGTCCTAATATTTCCGAGTGCTGGGGTGGCAGTGACAAGAGCGCCGCCACGGCGACCATCATGCTCATGGGCGATACGTGCACGCGTGGATGCCGCTTCTGCAGTGTAAAGACGAATCGTAAGCCACCGCCGCTTGACCCGCATGAGCCGGAGCACACGGCGGAAGCGTTGGCGAGGTGGGGGCTGGGCTATGTCGTGCTGACAAGTGTCGATCGGGATGATTTGGCGGATGGTGGCGCGAGGCATTTCGCGGAAACGATAAGCAAGATCAAGTCCAAGAAGCCGAGTCTGCTTGTTGAGGCCCTGACGGGTGACTTCAGGGGCGATTTGGACATGGTCAAAATTGTCGCTCAGAGCGGTCTGGACGTGTACGCGCACAACGTCGAGACGGTGGAGGGCCTGACGCCGTTTGTGCGAGACAGGAGAGCGACATTCAGGCAGAGTCTGAAGGTGCTTGAGCACGTCAAGACCGTCATGGGCCAGGACGGCATGATCACTAAGACGAGCATTATGCTTGGACTCGGCGAGCAGGAGGAAGAGTTGATGGATGCACTGACAGAGCTGCGCAAGGTGGGTGTTGACGTTGTCACGTTTGGGCAGTACATGAGGCCCACGAAGCGTCATCTCAAAGTGGAGAAGTACGTCACGCCCGACGAATTCGAGATGTGGCGCCAGCGGGCGCTCGATATGGGATTTTTGTACGTGGCCAGCGGCCCCTTGGTCCGAAGCAGTTATAAGGCTGGTGAGGCGTTCATTGAGAATGTCTTGAAGCAGAGGGCCAACGGCAGGAAGGGCATGGTATCGGTGAATGGCAAACTGAACGAGGCGGCTGTCGTAGACGAGCTGAAGAGCGAGGGTAGATAGCTACACGCACGCACGCTTGTACTCTTTTCAACACTGTATAATGAGCTGGATTTGCGTCCGCGGGCATGCATAGGGCAGGCGTAATAGACGGGTTGCTTGCATACAGCACGGTAGAATGGAGATGGACATATACAGGTCCTGCTCAATACGGACATTGAACTAAATAGACCACCTCGCAAAATGCGTTCAGTTTCAAAACGAAGTGATGGTTAACATCAGGAATCCTCGAAGGAACTCTCAACCATGCCACATAATCTACCCCTTTTGTCTACAAGATCGAACTCGATCGTACCGTCATAACATCAGCCCATAATTTCCTCAGAACCTATAAATCCGTTCAAGAATAATATTTACTTAAATGTGGCCAAATCCTAGGATACTTATAATGCAAAGAGGAAGCTTACATCTCAGAAGTCATGATTTGTTTGCTTCAGTAAAATCCCCACGCTATTGACTTATAGCAATAGTAGCTATATCACAGTCTGTTTAATCAAATTTATATTCAACCCCGTATTCTGTGATTTACCTAACGCACTGCCATCTATGATCATATTTGTAATTCATCACCAGCCGATGTACAAAACCGGACGGGTTTCACGGCCAGGCGCCACAACAGGCGCACAAACCCAGCCCGCGCCAATTTTAGCATCTGGAACATTGGATGAGGACTGTATTTGGAAGTCGATGAGTTGAAGTCTAGCATTCTGGCCTTACCACTCCACCTGTCGCGACTTTAAAGCCCCCGTCCTCCCGCGAATGTGGATCGATGATAAACCTGTCATGACGTACCTGATCTATCATCAACCTCCCACGTCCTGCCCAAACAGCAAAACCTCACAATGATCCGCCAATGCGCGGTATGCTGGCTCCCCGGAACCCTTTGCACCCAGTGCAAAAGCGCAAGCTACTGCTCCAAAACCTGCCAAAAAGCCGACTGGCCCTCACACCAACTCCTTTGCAAAGCCATTACCCGGCAGGGGACCCGGCCCACCCCAGCCCACAAACGCGCCCTCTACTTCCCCGCCGAACGCAGACAACCCGAATTCTTTTGGGTTGAGTGTCCGCACGACGACTACCCCGACGACCCGGGCATGCCCGATATCCTCAGCATCCAGGCGTACGTCGGCGCGCCGCACTACGCCAGCGAGAAAGTGAGGTTGAACCCTAGGTTGGGGAGATTTAGTCCGAGGATGGTGGAGTTTTTTGGCGCGAACCCCATGCCCAAGAAGATGGGGAATAGGAGTTTGAGAGCTGCGTGTAAGGCATATGGGTCCGTAAGGAGGGGATGGGAGGGCCCGTTGGTGGTGTTGGGGATTTCGGCTGCTCCTTGTGATGTCACTGCGGACGAGATTCTGGGGAACGGGTTGGCTGGGGGTGGGATCATTAATTATGATGATATTAATTTGTTTGATTTGAGGACTATTGTGGATTGGTCGGTGTGGTATTCTGAGGGCGTGGTTCCTTGATAGGGGACAAAGAAAAACACAATAACGCTCTGTGCTATCCAGGTCCAAGCAGCGGTTGAGATCTTATTGACTGTTAGGCAACCTTGGTGGGCTTTGCTAAGACCACCAAGGTTACCACGTGACTTAGCCCTTTGGGACTAAGTCCAACCTTCGTGCTCCATAGGACTAGATAGAATGTGATGCTTTTACAACCTCACAAATCTTTGACCACCTTTGCGTGTAACAGTTAAGGATTGCGCATAGCCTTTTACTTCTGCCTTTATTACAGTTAGGTAGCTTAACTACAAAGTCTACAGCTATTAATATCTACGCCCTGTCCGGTAGTAAAATAGGTTATAGCTACATAGCTACTTGGAAGGTTAATATATATCATGGGACTAGGCTCACTGTGGGCAATGTGGCACTTCGGCCACATTCAATCCAGCAGTTCCAACTGCGGGCGCCGCTCTATAAGTCGCGGCCACCCTTTAACAGCCTTGATAGATTTTCCGTCTCTTCTCTATCGTAGCAAAGAAGCAATGGTCTGTGGCATTTGAAAGTAGGCTAATTATTCATAACAAAGAGTCATCAAGTTTTAACTTGATAGGTGTCAGCCCATAGATGTCACTGGGAGAACATTTACATTAGCCACGTGAGTGGAGTCCAGCTAAATCCGGCACGACTGAGGACGTGATAGACAATAAACACCAATATCAGACAACCAGTACTTTGATATGTGACAATATGCCTCAACTACGGGTAAGATAGATGCTTAGATTGAGCACTGAGGTGGAGACTGCGCTATCTCTGAAATCTCCTTCCTTATGTATCCATTCTCTTCCTCACGGTCCTTCCGATTCAGCACGTGACCTTGTTTTTCAAGAACATCTGTATTCTCTCCTTCATTCCTTCCGGTAGTTTATTCTTCCATACATAGTCCTTAAATATCCTTTTGCTTTCTTAGTTATTTACTGAATTCCTTAACCAATGGTGACTTGTCATTCCTGGCAGTGGATTCCAGGTACCGGTACCCTGATCGTGTTATAGATTCCGGTCCGTAATGGGGCATGTGGCCTGCCAACGGGCCTGCGGGTTAGTTAGAACCTGTGGGATTAAGCGCCACGGTTATGCCCTAGGCCTAAGGCGCTGTAGCGGCAATTGTAGTCTAGTGGGGTCAGACCCTTCCCCATAGCACAAAATAGCAACGCACACACACAGCCAACAGAATAGTAGAGAGAGACACCCAATCAAGACAGGATCTACAGAGTCGTCAATAGAGGATTGAATCCCTCAGAACCAAACCTTAGTTGTAATTTCTCGCTTGACTCCGGATCTTTAGCACTTTTTTCTTGACTCCATGTGAAATGGGGCTGCAGCTGCAATGAATGATAGCTGAATTGGGCTAAGTTGTGGACCCGATGCGTGGCGACGAAGCTCCGATTGAAGCTAAAGGAAATTATGGTCTGAACATACAACAACGTGCGAACAACAATAACTCCATCGGAAAAATCCAGCCCACCCAATACCTTGGCCCATATCGTACAATCTCTCCAGATCTGATCATTCAGATTGCTTACTGTTGGATGCCGGTGACCGTTTGCATAGCTTTTGATACCAAGCTTTTGGCTTTGATCTCCAGCTAGAGGTCGAGTTGACAGGAACCGGTTGAATAATAACATTCCCGTCCTGCTTCAACTCTTCAGCGAAGTATTGGCTGACGAGGTATGCAAAGACTTCCTCAAATTTTGCTTCCTTGAGTTTTGCTTCCTCGAGTAGTGCTTCCTCATTTTTTCCTTCCTCGAGTAGTGCTTCCTCACGTTTTCCTCCCTCATGTTTTCCTTCCTCGAGTAGTGTTTCCTCACGTTTTTCTTCCTTGCTTTCGTCTTTATCTGGATCATGAAGGCTCTCGTGGCTGGGACCGCTCCCGCTGTGGCCATCAAAGACGTTATGAGAATGCCGGGGCTTCACCACCGAAGCCAGTTTCTGAAAGTGAGATTTCGCGGAATCCTTAGCCCTGACCCCCAATCCTGGCTTGTGGTCTGCTTCGAGCGTCGCCTCTCCGATGGGCTCTCCGTCCTTTTCCATGCTTATCACCTCATCATGAGGCTCTTTCTGCTCCGCAGGAGCCTGAATGCTGGATTGCCCAACGATGGCAGTTATGCAATCGTCGGTTTCGCTTTCATCTCTCATAGTCACTTCTTCTCGGGTATTTGCCGGCTCATCAACCAGCGCCTCCTCAGCCAGTTTCCTCTCAGTGAAAGTCTCCTCAACCAAAGATGCCCTCATAAGGTTGACTAAATGATCAGGGTTGATATTACACAACCGATCCATCATATCACGACCTTGCTCGCTCAACCTGCCATTGAAGTAAGCAGGGAACGTAACAAATCTGGTCCAGGCTTCAATCAAATTAATCGCGTCAGCGATTCCGCACTTAAACCACTCCCTATGTTTCTTATTGCCGGTTTTCGATCCGCACTCCACGTTCTCAGCTTTCTGCTTTAGTAACTGCTTATGTACGATTTGCTCAACACGATACGCGCCGACGAAGGCCTCGGGGGTTTCCCAGTGCTGTGATGCGATGGAAGCGTAGCAGTTTCCCCGCTGATTATACCGTGCATTGCTGCTATCTCGAGACCAGCCAACCTTGACTAGGTCTTCGATGTGTTTGTGCCTCCAGATGTAGACTTTGCCCGTATGATAGTCGTAATTTTCGAAGTCTTTTTTAATGACGCATTAGAGGGGCTCCTTGTACTTGGTCAAGTTCATCCAAAAGACTTTCTACTTCTGGGTCTTCCTCTGGATTGGTGTCTATGGTGCAAGGGGCTGGGGTTGGCGTGTCTGGCGTTGTGATGGCGGTGCTCGCTTCACTCTCGCTAGTGAAACTGATCTGAGATTCCTGGCCGGGGGAGTCTCTCAGGTTCGAGAGGCCGTACAAGATCGTACTTTCGTTGGCGTGGTTCAACTCTCGAGAAACCGTCTGGGGCGTTGTTGGTCGCTGGCAATGAACACCGTTGGGAATCGACAAGGGGATATTGCGCAGAGTTGGGATATTCTCCAAGAATTGTAGGACCTCGTCGGTTTTCTTCATAGCGGAGGCAATTGAGATTTCCGTCTTCCAAGCACTGAAATTGACCATGACCCTCTTCTGGTGGTCCTTACAGTGTGTATTATAGAGAAAAATTCGCACCTCTTCGAAAAATGCTTCGTTATAGAGAATCTTGGGTTTGTCAAAAGAATTTATGAAATTTTCGGCTTCCTCTCTCGTCTTTTCCAAAGTCCTCTTACATGGCTGCCCACTATTCAAGGGACCGAGCCTCGGGTTCACATAGGAGACACCAAGGCAATACTCAAAGCCCGACTTCAGTGGATCCTTGGTTTGTGTAACCAGTAATTTCTCAACTTCCCCAAGAACGGGATGGCCCACCGTCGTGTTGGACACCATTGTTGTGAGTTTTTTTGTAGGTTGAAGTAAATGAAAGAACTAAGAGCCACAACAGCCCCGGAACGTGGAAACTGTTAATTTGAACAACTCATAAGTTTTCGTTGTGAGTTGTTTTGTAGGTTGAAGTAACTGAAAGAACTAAGGGCCACAACAGCCTGGGAACGTTGAAACTGTTAATTTGAATAAGTAATAAGTTTTCAAAGTAGTGGGAGGATGAGAAGGTTTGTAGTTGGTGAAGATCTACACGAGGCGCAATGACAGGTTGGTTTGGCATGGGTTTGACACTGCCTAATTGGAAGATATTGAAACTCTTGCAAGGGGGATCAGCATTTCAAAGCCTTGACTACTGCATGAGCTACATTGACGGCTGGGAAACAACAGGGGTTACTTCTGCTGATAAGACATTATGCAAGGGGGAAGCAACCCACCGTGACTCATCTCCAGAAAACTTTATAGATCGAGCACACTTTTCCAGGCTCTATGATCATCTATCGTAAGATGTTCTGGGTCTCAGAAGGTGATGCAACAGAATGACAATGCACCGCCGCTGTTGTGCATCGGCTCCTCCATACCCCATATCAAGAATAGGCACGCATGATAGGCAAGGGGTCCAAGGAGTGGCGCAAGCCAAGTTCGGTGAGAGGAAACAGCCACGAGTTTTTCTCGACCAGGTACCTGGTCAGTTTACGCTCAACGGCCACATGCATGAGTAGGGAGGTAGGGACTATGAATAGGTCATATTCAGAGTTATACGTCAACCCACCCCTCCACGGTCCATACAACCCAAACAAAAGTTAAACAACTTCACTTACACAGATTACCACCGCCACGTTAGATACTTGAATGGTTTTCTAGCTTATTGTATACATAAATAATCAATCTGTTAAACTCAATCGTTAGAAGTATAATATGATTAGTGTAGAGGTTCAAGTGTAGAACATTGTATTAGCGCAGAACAGGGGCAATTACAAGGGTCGTGGCTTAGGTCGCGGCATTTATACGCCCTCAAGACCCACTTCAGCCTATAGGAGCCTAGCCCCATGTTGTCACCCCCCTTGTCATCCGCCCAGCCCTGCCACAGCGCTACAAGGCGTGCCCATTACCTGGTAAAGAGGTCACACCCTGGAGCAGGGGCGCTATTCGCGGCTAGCTATTCAAGTGGTCAAAACATACTGATTTATAGCCGGTGATTTGCTCCTCTCACGGCTGCGAACTGCGGTCAACCAACCGCAGCGTCATGGGCAGTCTCAGCGCTAACAGTATTTATGCCTCATGCCAAGATTCGGGCTCTACATCCGGGAGCGCAAAGTGACCTGCGGTCCACTCTCTAACTATGCAGTTCCATCGGACCCTAGCGAGCTGAGCTTTGTGTCAAACCAGGGTCTCATATCTTCCTACTATGTATACATATGGGGCTAACTAGCCTCCACACCACGCAGCCTCATTGCTAATTGCGATGCCAGCGGCTCTTTATCGGTTACTTCGCGGCCGAGAGTCGGAGCAACTCAACCACGCCCACCAGGCTCTGGGAGGTTGGTGCTCACATTAGTAACCAAAATAGCTGGTGGGTTGATACGTGACCCCATGGGAGGTTGCCCTATAGCTAGAGATAAGATAGATAAGAGCTATAAAAGAGCTCTGCCAGGCCAGAATAGCTGACCTGGCCATCCTTTCCCAATACAACAATTCACACCCCATATGCACTCGCATCAATGCTATAATGCAGTAGTGCGCAACGTTATAGTATCTAATTGAATGGGATTCGCCTAACCAGTGGGTCCCCCTACCTTTTCGTATCAGACCCCCTATTTAGTACCTGTACCTTCTTAACCTTCTATGTAGCTAGAATGCCAGCCGATCGGAATCAGACAGGTATTCGCAACTTAGCGAACTCGCGGTCATTGATTATCTGCATTCTATCAGCCATTTAATCCTGGGAGTATACAACTTAACCGTTTTCATACACACATAAGCCCCACTCGCGAGAATCAGACAGCCTTCCACTACCTCCCCCCATCGTCTCTAGATTAGGATAGGGCACATCATACGTCTTTGCTTGCTATGTTGCTTCGGCTCCCTTCATGAGAATTATCTTAAATGCTTAAACTTTCCTTCTCTGCTGCCGAGTTGATGCGAGTGCATATGGGGTGTGAATTGTTGTATTGGGAAAGGATGGCCAGGTCAGCTATTCTGGCCTGGCAGAGCTCTTTTATAGCTCTAATCTATCTTATCTATAGCTATAGGGTAACCCCCCATGGGTTCACGTATCACGAGTATAATAACGTCGTAACGATTCTTCCGCCTTTATATTAGCTTTCCTTTGGATTATTGATGTGATGGATTCCATGCTCTCCGTCATACTGTCTCGCATCTTGAAAAGGTTATCTGCATATTTGACCCAGTCCACCCTCTCTGGAAATGGTGTTACTATATTTTCTCGAAATCCGGCCCTAACTGCGATCCTCACAGAACAATATTTTCTCGTTGTATATTTCCTGTGGGTAAACATGGGATTTGACGCGATGAGAAGGAAGCAGTAGTGGTGGACTTTCTCTATTAGGACTCATGGACTTTTGGAAGAAAGGATCGATCAGACCTATCCCTCGAACTATATTTCTACATACCTGCAGTGGATGACAGTGGGTGTGCCTTACAATAAGATCCTTCAAACCAGTGTTGCCGATGCTTATCTTCTACTGAAATGGAAAACCTCACAGGGCGCTTGATACGAAAAGGTAGGGGGACCCACTGGTTAGGTGAATCCCATTCAATTAGATACTATAACGTTGCGCACTACTGCATTATAGCATCCTCCCCCCTAGGTGCACGCATCAGCGCTATTTGGGTCGCAGCCCTCATCGGCCATTATATCATCAAATAGAGCTTGCAGCCCAAACAGGTCTTGGTCTTCTGTAAGTCCCACCATCCCCATAAACTCCTCGAATCCTTCACTTGTCATAAACATGGCGGCTTGAAAGACTAACCTGTCTCTGTCTGCATGGCAGGGACGAGAACCGTAGCGAACAAGCATTTCCACTGCGCCTGCATAGGATTTCCAGGCAGCCCATATTAAGGGCGTACAACCATTCCCATCTCGTGAATTTTTTTTCACCATTTGGTTCTGAAGTAGAAGTTCCATTACACCTTCATAACCCTTACCGGCTGCCCAAGAGAGTGCTGTGCGGCCTTTATTATCTCCTAAGTCTGGATTTATACCATCTTGTGAAAGTAGTATCCGGACTGTTTCTTTGTGATTCCCTTTTGCAGCCCATAGTAGTGCTGATTTCCCAAGAACGTCAGTCCCATTGATGTTGACATGTCGCGTAAGTAGTAGCTCTACTACAGCATTATGTCCTTTTGACGCGGATAATATAAGAGGCGTTTGCCAGTGTCTGTCTGTGGTTCGTACGTCGGCTCCCTTCTCAAGTAGCAATTTGACCACCTCGACGTGTCCACTATCTGAGGCTAAATTCAGTGGCGTCCACCCGGTACTATTTGTAACTGTGAGATCGGCCCCCTTATTAAGTAGTATCTGAACCACATTCTCGTGTCCTCCCGATGAAGCAGCTTGGAGGGCATTACCGTATTCTCCACCCTGGGCGTTAACGTCGGCGTTCTTCTCGAGTAGTATCTGAACCACTTTCTCGTGTCCTCCCGATGAAGAAGCTTGGAGGGCATTGCCGTAGTATCCACCCTGGGCGTTAACGTCGGCGTTCTTCTCGAGTAGTATCTGAACCACTTTCTCGTGTCCTTCCGATGAAGCAGCTTGGAGGGCATTGCCGTAGTGTCCACCCTGGGCGTTAACGTCGGCGTTCTTCTCGAGTAGTATCTGAACCACTTTCTCGTGTCCTTCCGATGAAGCAGCTTGGAGGGCATTACCGTAGGGTCCACCCTGGGCGTTAACGTCGGCGTTCTTCTCGAGTAGTATCTGAACCACTTTCTCGTGTCCTCTATATGAAGCAGCTTGGAGGGCATTACCGTAGAATCCACCATGGGCGTTAACGTCGGCGTTCTTCTCGAGTAGTATCTGAACCACTTTCTCGTGTCCTCCCAATGAAGCAGCTTGGAGGGCATTACCGTAGAGTCCACCCTGGGCGTTAACGTCGGCGTTCTTCTCGAGTAGTATCTGAACCACATTCTCGTGTCCTCCCGATGAAGCAGCTTGGAGGGCATTGCCGTAGAATCCACCCTGGGCGTTAACGTCGGCGTTCTTCTCGAGTAGTATCTGAACCACTTTCTCGTGTCCTCTATATGAAGCAGCTTGGAGGGCATTGCCGTAGAGTCCACCCTGGGCGTTAACGTCGGCGTTCTTCTCGATTAGTATCTGAACCACATTCTCGTGTCCTCCCGATGAAGAAGCTTGGAGGGCATTGCCGTAGTGTCCACCCTGGGCGTTAACGTCGGCGTTCTTCTCGAGTAGTATCTGAACCACTTTCTCGTGTCCTCCCAATGAAGCAGCTTGGAGGGCATTACCGTAGTATCCACCCTGGGCGTTAACGTCGGCGTTCTTCTCGAGTAGTATCTGAACCACTTTCTCGTGTCCTCTATATGAAGCAGCTTGGAGGGCATTACCGTAGGGTCTACCCTGGGCGTTAACGTCGGCGTTCTTCTCGAGTAGTATCTGAACCACTTTCTCGTGTCCTCCCAATGAAGCAGCTTGGAGGGCATTACCGTAGAATCCACCATGGGCGTTAACGTCGGCGTTCTTCTCGAGTAGTATCTGAACCACTTTCTCGTGTCCTCTATATGAAGCAGCTTGGAGGGCATTACCGTATTCTCCACCCTGGGCGTTAACGTCGGCGTTCTTCTCGAGTAGTATCTGAACCACTTTCTCGTGTCCTCTATATGAAGCAGCTTGGAGGGCATTACCGTAGAATCCACCATGGGCGTTAACGTCGGCGTTCTTCTCGAGTAGTATCTGAACCACATTCTCGTGTCCTCCCGATGAAGAAGCTTGGAGGGCATTGCCGTAGTGTCCACCCTGGGCGTTAACGTCGGCG